ATCCAGAAAGTGTCAGATTATGTCAGATAGATATAAAAAAAGTGTACAGTGCAGACACAGACCTGATTTTAGACGAGACACTTTTCAAACAACCTGAATAAGTGTTCCTGTTCTTCACTGGCATGACAGTGAATATATTCTAAACCAGTGGTTCTCAACTGGTCAAGTGTAGCCAAATCTCCGGAGTTTTTCAGGAGAGTTCCGTCTGTGTGAAAAGGGTTTAAGACACCTCATAGCAGCAGGTCTATATTTGGAGAGCCAGGTGTATGCTGTGAGCTGAAAAGGAAGTATGATTTCCTGAGGCCGAAGAAGTGTATGTCTTACAGTTTCAAGTAAAGGTAACGTCTTCTTTCTAGCCTATTAGAAGTGTACCCAAATGGAAAGGAATTTGTAGGCTGTACCGGCTAATAGAATATTAAGCAAGATTGTTAACATGAAAAGTTTGTCAGTCATTCATGCTCTGCACTGTCTGAACTCGGCCGAATAAATCGAAGATAATTGATAGTCTGTCCCACTGTTTCATCATTGAACGTTTACAAAAGAAACTCCCCCGCCTAACAGGCATTTAAGTCAATTATGGGAGGGTAAAGTCCACATTGTTCAGCATAACCCTTCATCTCTGTATGTTTTTGTTTGGTTGTTGTTTTTATTTTGTTGGCCCCTATAGGTGCAGTACATTGATCTCAGGGATCGTTTTGATGGTGACATCAGAACATTGGAAATTCTGCTGGACGTTGTGAAGTTCATGCACCCCAGCTTTGGATTCCGATGGGTTCTTAAGGTCAGAAAACATTCGTATTCCTTGATGGGCTTGCTTTGAATGTCTTTTTGAGGTTGATAGTGATCCAGGATTGATTTATAATTGTCTTTGTGTAGGATCTAAAAGGAACATTGGCACAAGAGCTGGACTTTGAAAATGAGGCCAGGAATTCTGAGAGGTGTGCAGAGGAGCTGCGGCACTTCCGTTTTGTTGTTGTGCCCAAAGTTTTCTGGGAGCAAACTAGTAAGGTGAGCTTATATCAGGGGTACAAAACACCATGACTTCTAACATTTCATCGACTTAACCTTTCATATACCTATACTTTTTCTCTCCAATTCATAGAGAGTCTTGACAGCAGAGTTTTGCCATGGCTGCAAAATCAACAACGTGGAAGAAATTAAAAGACAAGGATTAAGTTTGAAAGATGTGAGTTAATGAATGCTACAATATGTTGTGCAGAGTTTAACCATATGATCATGCTGTTTGAAATATTCAAATCTGTTTTTTTTTTTTTTTTCAGACTGCAGATAAACTGATCCGAACTTTTGCTGAGCAAATATTCTACACGGGTTTCATCCATGCTGACCCTCATCCTGGGAACGGTTGGTTCATTCATTTGTGTAATACTAGAGTGTAAAAACAGAATAAGTAAATCTAATCTAATACTATGTATGATACTAACAGTATAAGAATTGTTAACTAGTGCAGTTAACATGCTAATGAGCTCAATCAATCTTTATTTGTATAGCGTCAACTCATAACAAGTGTTATCTCGAGACACTTTACAAAAAGCAGGTAAAAAGACCTTACTTATTGCTATGTTACAAAGATCTGGCCTTTCCATCATGAGCACTTTAGCAAAGCAGCTAAAGTTACAGTGGTAAGAAAAAACTGCCTTATTATCGGACATGTGGCTGCAGGAGCTGGGGATCGAACCCCCGACCTTCCGGTTTGGAGAAGACCGACTCTACCAACTGAGCCACAGCCGCCCAAAAACAGGTTCACATACATGAAGAAAAAGAGAGAATGGAAAATAATCTCTGTTTCCAAATAAGACATTTCACAGTTTGTGAAAACAAAACAACAAATTCTACAACAACAGAGATTGATCGATGGTGTTCTGCAGTCATGTACTTCTCAGAAAAGTAAACAAACAGTCTTACATGTGAAGGGAAACCAGACCTTAATGACTGCATTCACCCTTGACTCTCTGGACACAATCTATCAAAGCTGCACAGTTGTCATCAAAAATGAACTCATTTAACCCTCGTCCACTTCTTCCTCTACAGTTCTAGTGAGACCGGGTCCTGATAAGAAGGCAGAGCTGGTGCTCCTGGACCACGGCTTGTACGAGTTCCTCAGTCAACGGTAAGATTTTAAGACGGAGTCTGTTTAGCAAAACCTCTGGCAACACTTTGTTATCAACTGTAACTGTAACCTTTACCTCAGTGACAGAGTTGCCCTTTGTAAACTGTGGAGGTCCATAGTCCTGAGAGACGAGGCAGCAATGCAGAAGTACTCCAATGCACTTGGGGTCAAAGGTACATATTTTTCAACTTTCTGTTTCAATAAATGCTGCATATCCCACCCCTCATTTTTCAATACTAGATGCGTTTTCTTTTACTTAGCGTGTCAAGCAGATCCACCCGGTTGTTGCAGCTTGAAAAAGTAACCAGCTTTCTTATCTAACGATCTGCAGAATACTTCCTCTTCTGCGAGATGCTGTTGCAGCGGCCCATCAACATGCGCGAGCTGGGTCTGTCCAACATCCTCAGTCGAGAGGAGACCACCTACATGCGCGATATGGCCATGCAGCGCTTCGAAAGCATCATGCAGGTGCTCAAGTCGATGCCTCGGCCCATGCTGCTCGTCTTCAGGAACATTAACACCGTCCGGAGCATCAACATCACTCTCGGAGCACCAGTGGATCGCTACTTTGTCATGGCCAAGAGGTTCGTTTTAGAGCTTAGTCAGTGAAGCATTGGCAAATAAGCTGCAGCCCAAAGCACAATATTCCCAATGTGGGAAAGCAAAAGAGCAAAGTGAAATTGAAACCATTCTCATCCCCGTGCACTGTTTGAAAAGCCCAATGATGGAAGCCAGTGAGTGAGCATTGTTGAATAAAACGGTGTTGTCAGGGACACTCGAGCTAAAAGTTACAAAATCTTAACAGGTTTGGAATAAACGATGCACCTCTCTCTCTCTCTCCCTCTCTTTTTTTTTTTAGTGCGGTGAGAGGTTGGGGGAAGATTCAGGCAGAGAGGAGCAGGATGATAACTGGACTCTGGCTCTTCAGCTGGGTCAGGTTAACATGGGAGAGCCTCAAGTTTGAACTGGCCTTAAGGTAAAGACTCATTTACTTTGAGTCAATAATGCATATCATTTATTTTCAGTCACTTCTTTGTTGCATTAAATTAAAAACTGTGTGACTCTGGTTATGAAAGTCTGAAATCAACATTGATGCATTTTTATGACCTACTTTTTCTACAGCTAATATTCATAGTGAGTGATACTTAAGAAAGCAGGATTCCACTTTTTTCAGATAACACTACTTGCATATTTACAGGACAAGCGATAAGTTATTACTTGGTCCACGGTGGATGTCAAAATTCCTTATATTCTTATGTACTTAGATCGCTGTAAACTCACATGGCAACATATTCTCATTCCTGCACATCTTTTTATTTTTTTACTTTAAAGGAAGAATGTGCATCATTTGACATGAATAAAGCAGAAATCAAGTACTGTATATCTCTCTGAGTCATGACTGTCTACAATGAGTGAGAAGCTCGAGTCCTGCTGGCTGTGTTGTTGTCAGAGCCGTGTTTACATTGATGCTCCTCTTCTTGCATATAAAAGCTGTTTTAGGTCAAGGACTAGAGGAAAGAAGAATAACACTCACTGCTTATTTGGATGTCACATAAGCTTCTTTAAATCATGGTCATTCCGTATACATTACATACAAAGTGAAGCTACGAGCTAACTAAAGCGTGCTAACACAACAATGCAGGCCACTGGCAATTGCAGCTCGAGCAAAGGACAATTTTTGGAATTGTTGGAAGTATGATGCTGGAGGAGAGCGGAGGCTCTAGTATGGCAGAGTTGTAGCCAAACAGCAGTTTGTTTTGATTTCATGCTGGTGCTCAAATGCGATATCTGTGCACATTCTTCATTTAATAAAAATATATGTATAAAATACTTTTACATGTTAGGGGTACTACTGCTTACTTTGCTTCCATTTTTTTTTCTTTTCTATTTGTCATTTATATTATTGTAAAGCATTAAAACACCAAGACAAACTTCCTGTATCTGTAAAAACTACCTTGCATAAGTTCTGACTCCGTTAACTCTGCTCTACAGATGGGAAATGGCAGCCATGAGTCTGACCCGGTGGTTCCTGAGCATGCTGTCATACTTCAGCCTAGCATCTGTGGATGCAGAAATGTACGAGTACCTGAGGTAGTTCAAGCTGCTCCCACAAGGAAGAGCGAAGAAGGAGCTATTCCAAGCACGCTAAATGCAATCCAACAGCTTTTCACTTCAGTAGCAGCTCCAAAAGCTGCAACTGCTGCTGCTGCTCGACACCAAATCACCCTGGACTCTGGTGGCAGACATGAAGTCTCCATCATAAGGGAGCTATTTTAACCTGCAGGACTTTAAAAGCACCAAACACACTTCAGAGTACTGTCTGAACATCATGTTGTCAGATCTTATTTAAATTAATTGTATGTATTTTGGACATTTAAATTGTTAAAGTTGTTTTAAACTGTTTTAAAATGCTCTTATATTCAACTGATTTTAAGATAAGTTGGTTTTCTAGAATCAATGGAAGACAACGTTTTGTAGCAGATGCTCATGTCATCAATACTTACATGAAAGAGTCTCTAATGAGTTATGCCAAATTATTGTACCATTACAAAGCTGCGTACCCACTTGAGCAAGAGTTCAAATTAACAATGAGTGTTATCAGGGGTTGCCTTTGAGATTTCAGTTCTTCAATAAAAACACTATGCTTTAATGATGGCAATAACTTAATGTTGAATAGTCTGTGATACAAGGATCAATCTGTTTTTAATAAGCATCTCCGAACTGTGCAGAATCAAAAGGAACATTAATGCCAACTCACCAAATACTTTTTATGTAATGTCACTATGTTAATAAAATATTTTAAATCTTTTATTAAAATCAGCGTTCCTGTCTTGATCTCTTTAAAGTACAATAAACACACACACACACGAGGTTTGGGTAAATTACTTTTACTGATTTTTTGTTTTTATACAAAATATCCTAAGAAAACATGGCTGCTCTCTTTTTTTTTTTTTAACTAAGAAAAATCATGAAGTTTGCAAAAAGTCGACAATTTCTTTCTCTCCATTCAGTATAAAACGGCTTCAGTGAACGAGACTGTGGGAATGTGGATCTCAGAAATGAGCTGTGACTCTGTCGATCTCCAAAAGGTCATCCAGGATCTAGAGATTTAAAAAAAAAAAAAAAAACAGGATTTAGGAAGAGGGAAATGAGAAAAAAGGAAGAGCTGAAGTCCCAGCATCCTGTCTCCTGTTTTTTGTACTTACTATGTCCTGAGTGGTACCAATCTTCTTTGCCAGCTCACTCCGCTCCATTGTACTGAGGTATAAGTACTTATTGAGGAGTTCTCCATCCAGGATGTTTCTCACAGCGTTCTGCAAGCCCCGTCTGTTGCTTTGCAGCATCCTGGACACCAGATACAAAAGGGTTAGTTTTACCAAACAGCTAACTCCCATCAGTCACATACTAAAACCTTTATCTTGATCACACTGTCTGTGTACAAGAGAGCACGCTCACATCTCTGAACAGTGATGTGTATAAAAAGTACTGTATGAAAGGCGGAGGCAAACCTGAAGGCCTTTGGGTTCAGACCAGCATGATGAGGCAGCATCGTGTTCAGAGCATTTTGCAACATGAGCAGACGACGGTAAGTCTTCTCCTGCATGGGAAGGAGTAAGCCAACTCCTCCATCTAGAGTTGCTGTTAGAATACAGAATAAAAGAGTGTTTCTTCCATGCAGAAATATCAATTAATCTATTGCCTAACAAAGGTCTACAACAACAATATGATTCTTTAAAATACACACAATATATTGTATCACTCTCCCCTGAATCCCCCACTCAGCCAGTGGGGAAAAAATAAAATGAAAATGATTGATCAATTGTCAGTGGAAATGTTTTACACTCTGTGAGGAAAGGTGCTCGTTTCGCTTCGACAGAGGCCTGATGACAGAACAAGAGGAAAGGTGCAGCTCGGCTTGTGGACTTCATCACGACCATGACCCTGATGAAGTCCACAAGCCGAAACGCTTCTGTCCAATAAAGATGATCTTTGTACTACAAGTGCTGCTGGAGCTTTTTGACCTCTTCAAGCCTTTCGCTCTTCATGCACCTCGGTGGTTGCTGAAGTTGTGCCAGAAAACTCTACTCTGCCATCAAAGAATGTGGCAGAACAGGACTGCTATTTGAGGCCAAAACTGTTGTGTTACACATCACACCAACAAGCCATTTAAATGTATGTACGTCACATTTTACAACAAATAAATTCTTTGTTTTTGTACATTTCATATAAATTTGCATATTATACCTTTGCAAATACATCAAATTGGATAAACTAGTAAATAAATGTATTAGGGTACATTTAATATTTTTGATATGGCATCTTTCCTCCTCCATAGTCTTTCATTCTTGGATATACACAAGAGAATTACCTTTATTTATTAACTGTATTTACAACTAAATTGGCAGTTATGGACACAGCTCTGCTTTTCTCTACATCTATTTGTCATCAGTTAAAAATTGCAGGTCACTTGTTTATTATAGCTAGGGATGTCACAATACTTGCAATGCAATCAAGAATCAATACAAATATGGACAACTTAAATTATAAGACAAAAAAAAAAACTGTATTGTGATACTCCTTTTTAACCAGCAGAGGGTGTTATATGCTTTAAGTCTCTCCTGCTTTGATATCAGAAGAAGTGAGTTGAGCACATAATGGACAAAATCTATGTGCAAATATTGCAAAGGCTGATGGACTACACAAATAGAACAACCAACATGATGCAGCATGTAAAACAGTACCATGCTGAAATGCTCGAGACATGAAAAACCACATTATCATCTGCTGGGAAGCAGATATGAAACCTCACTTGCCCAAACAAGTGCAAGAGCCAATGAGATTACTACATGCATGGGTGTTAAGACGATGATAGATATAGTATTGCGAGGTTCAGCGAATCATAACATCCCTAATAACTGCCCGGTCAGCTTTGGATATCTTGGCCACTTACCGAACCATGTGATGTGCTTGTTGTCCCAGGTCAGAGACTTTTTGCTGCCTGTATCCAGCGCTCCTCTGCACGGCATCCTCCAGAAAGTGTTAATGTTTGCTCCAGCGTTGAAGTCTGCTCGCCTCAGCAGGCGCATTCCTCCAAAGCTCTCTTTAGCTGCAAGCACACACAGCACGTTACTAGAGAGGAAGAGCATTCAAACTGAGCTGCTAAAAATCTGCATCTTCCTGAACAATGTCTTACCTTCAGGAAGATACATATACACATAGAGGTTCTTGTCTCGATCCGACACTAAAAGTAAAAAGAAAGAATGAATGAGAACAGGATATTTTATTTTAGATTAATTTTCCTTACAAAAGGGAGCTAAACATTACCTAAGAACCCAAGCTGGTTGTTATCCACCACGAAGTCAATGCTGTAAACCTCCAGGGGCTTTGCATCCTGTTGCCAAAATAGAAAAAAAAAAAAAGTTAAACCCAAACAAAGATGGCTCCTGAATTATTTCCTGCTGCTAAAGCTGCTCTCTTCAAGATTAACTTGATTGGATTCAAGGAGACACATTGTCAATACTTACTTGTACATCCTAATCAATAAACACTTGAGTGTGAGTAGTGCAATCTCCCCTCAGCAATCAAATACAACACTGAGGTGCTAATCTTAATCGTCAGAGGAACAACTCAATCCCTGCAGTTAATCAACTGCTTCAGTGGCGTCATTTCCTCACCCTGCTGACGAGCGAAAGTGTCTTGCTCTCCTCCTGGTAGCGGAGCAGTGAGATGCTCTTCATAAGATCGGCAGCGAGGATGAAGTTCTTGATGCTGAACATCTGGTGGATGTAGAGCTGAGTGTCGATGAAGGCCATGCCCGTCAGGTCGTTGTCCTTCAAGACCCACAGGAAGATCTGCAGGAACACAGAGGAGGTCACCCCTTGTTTTTGCATATTTACATGCAACATACATACATATGATCTACCTCTTTGTACAGTGTTAATTGAATTAAATCAAATATTTTATCCAGTTCAAGAGAATGAGGCAGAAGTATATTTCTGTTTCCTGCTGTGTGATGCGAGAGTGTGGCTGAGACCTTCTGTCCGATGGCTGACACCAGGTATCCGTTGCAGTGACACATGGCTGTCACCGGCCCCTTCTGTTCCTTCTCATACAGCACTTTGAACTTGTTTTTGGTGAGGGGCTGCCCTGGCTCTGGCACCACTTCAATTACATCCAGGATCAAAATCTTAACACAAGCATCAAATAACAAGTCATCAGTGTTTGTTTTTTTCCCCCTTCCTTACTTTTATCATTTGGTTCAAACACAAATATATATACTGTATAATAAATCTCATGTTGGTGTTATTTTGTTCTGCTCACTCTGCCTCGACAGGTGACCTCTTCCCCCTGCATCAGGCAGGTCCCTGCTGCCACGTATCCTTTCAGTCCTGAAACTGTCTCCTGACTCCTCAGTGCCACTGTCTTCATACAGGTTACATGTTCCCACTCCTCCAGGTCGATCCTTAAAGCGACAGACACAGAATGAAGCAAGGACACACTCAAACACCACTAAGAGTCTGCTCGTTGTTTTTTTCCAGTGAAATATTTTATGGACACATTTTGACGGGCCACACATTCTTCTGTTATGATATAGTTATATAGCTACAAATATGATGTTTTCATTGGTTTAAAAAGGGAAGCATGTCTGTATTCTCTTTAATGTCCAACAGAGCTTTACTGGTTACAATCATTTGATTGTATGAAAGATGCTAAACTGACCCTTGTTCTCTGATTATTTACCTCAGGGAACATTTTTGATGAGTTGGGTTTCTTTATAAAAAGACAAAATATAATTTAAGGCACAGCTGCCAGCTGGAAACAAAGGACAATGGTTAATAAAACAAACCAATGGGTGTTGTCACTGTGGCTATGTCTACTTCTGCTGTTTGTTGACAGTACTGTCCTATATCTCCAGATTTGAATCTCACTACATTATATCTGGTTTGACAGAAGGTATAGTGCTGCCTAATCTGATCTCACAGAATCAGTGTGTTCATTTAAGACTGTATAAATGATGGACAGCACAACACCTTGCCTGAAATGAAGCAAATAGATTTAGAGCTCCCTCTTCTCACTGGCTGCAGTACAGGTCATAAACCCTTCTTTATCAATAACAGATGCAGCGCCGTGTGCCCTGGAGTAGAGGAGGTGCGATGAGAGGAAACTTAACAAACTAACACAAGAGTCAATGAACTTGCATAACCTTGAGTGTCTGCTTCAAACAGACAGAAGAATGTTCTGCTGTGGACTGTACCAATCCTGAGGGATCTCTCCTGTTTTCTTTGGATGTTAAAGGTGAGTTTTCATTGGCCAAGTAACGTCTGTGCCGCAGTTCCTGCAGCCTGTCTCTACTATGCAGACTTAGGCTCCAATTATGAAATATGTCAGTGCCCGTCACTAGGGTACTTTGGCTTTGTGTTTGCAGAGCGGGAGGAGGTTGAGCTGGTTGTTTATCTGTGTATACAGTCCATGGCCCTTATATACAATGCAAAAAAAGCTGCATGCTACATGTATGTGTTTTAGGTCCCCAGAGAAGAGCTTCCACAAAAGTAGGTGACCACAAAGAAGTGCATATAAATAATTGGGTCTTGGATAAACTAACCTACATTACTCATTCCCTGAAATGAGAGAAAGAAGCCATGAGAGACTTAATCAATTTTCTACAACTTGGATAAGTGACCCATGAATTTAAATGAAAGGAGCGCAAAGTCTCCGCTGGGACGACCTGGTGAGGAGAAAATGAGAGAACCAAATCTGCCACAACTCTGTGTTTATTGGACCTTTTCATTTCTAGAAGTTTAACAGGTATTAATAAAAGGCTCTCTTATTAATTTCGCAAACTGCACCCTTGCTTATCATCGGAGTGCAATTCATCGTGAAGAATGCTTTTACCTTGCGTTGGGGATGGCCTCCCAGCTAACTGGAGATATGAGTTGGATGGAGAACTTCTCTTGCTGAGGATTAATGTAACGCTCATCTGCAGAAAGACAACAGCAACTTATGAACATATCTGTGGTTGAAGGAAATAGAATCTGAAACTGGACAACAAGCTGGGGGAATGGTGTGTTTTAGGAAGTGCCATTGAATCAGTAAACTACCAGCTACCTAAAGTGGACTGTAAAGAAGCCTTCCTTTAAAACTGAGTCCACTAGAGCATGCAAACCATTCTTTGAAATAGAAAGTGTGTGAAGACTATCAGGAAACTGAGCACTTTTCATTTTTCTTTAAGTGAAATATGAGCCCATTCAAAGGCACAACAGGGTCAACCATCACAGGGAGAGCAGGAATAAATAGTCACTGCGCTTGCAGACCAAAATATCATGAAGGATGCAACATTTGACCTTGGTGTTGGCCTGTGCCTTTAACAGATTATATATAGACAGCAGAATATTTCAGTTAGTTCATTTTTCTGCATCTTTATCTAATTATCCATATCCAATTTTAGAAGGTGGTGTTGATAAACAGTTACTTGAGTTCATCTGATAGGTCTGCTGGGGCAAAGAAGGTTGGGAATCAGTGATATTAACAGTGTGTGTGTGTGTGTGTGTGTGTGTGTGTGTGTGTGTCATTATGCCTGACCTCGGTCTATGGTTTCAAACTCTTTCTCCTCTCCAGTCATCCTGGGGATGCGTGTGCAGGGCTCTTTTATACTTGTACACACAGCATACACCTGAGAGAGAGGAAGCCAAAAGCACACAGTAAACTTCAAATCAAAGTCTAACCCCTTCAAAGTCACAGTCATTGATTTTTTTTTCTCTCTTTGCTGTAAGTAAAACTTTAAGGCCAGAGGGCTTTCATCTCAAACTTTTTCAAAGCTGCTCGATCGATACGCTTTTTTATTTTGCATCGCTTTATACAAGACGAGGTGTGTGAGTCCAGGGAATGAGTTTCACAGCTTGAATTTGTGTCACGTAGCTGCTTCAGTGCCTCTGGTGCGTGTGGGCAGAGTGAGAGGAGCCTTGCCTTGGATTCGACATGGTAGGAGACGTAGTGGACGGTGCACCTCAGTGGGATTTTCCGGACTGGCCAAGGGGCGTCGTAGGAGAGATAGGTAGGCAGGACGCTGATCCTCAGCTCACCCTGGGGAAACAAACACAAGATAAGACATTAAAACTAGAAACTATCCATGAGAATTCCAAGGATTTGAAATGGTTCTACGGTTTTTGCCTTTTGTCAGTTGCTGTGAAAATCTTTAAATATTGCATATGGAGGTCCAACGTGCATGGACCTTATTGAGTTTAACTGGTTCTCAAAGTTCAGCTCTTAAATATTTTATACATGGACCAATCCTCTTAAGGTTGCAGCACTTTTACAAGTTTGTATATTCAATAAAAATAATATAGAAGTGAGTAAGACAGTATGTGGATCTTTGTTTCAAAAAAAAAAGCTGAGGATCCTCTATACCCAAGATGTTGTTTTTTTTTTTGGAAAGAAACATTCAATCGCAGAGGCTCATACAGTGTTTCCCACAGAATGATGCGATATCTGGCGGTGGAGTCTACATTAATTTAGCAGGCTGTGAGATGGCGTTGCTATCGTTACGTTAGCTGTAGACACGGTGAGAGTGAACGGAGTAAAGTCGAACCGACCGCTTGACCGGATCACGTCTGTTCCCGACTTGGTCCGTACCTAATATGTACAGTCTGTGGTCCGTACGGATCACGGATCAATTCTGTGCTGTTGTAAAGTAAGGTGTGCGTGTGTGCGTGTGTGTGCGTGTGTGTGTGCGTGTGCGTGTGCGTGTGCGTTTGTGCAGCAATGTTCCCCGCGACGCTCACAGTCATGACAGCAGAGAGAGAGGAGCAGGGACAAGTAGCTGCAGCTACATCTAACGCGCTTCATACTCATAGCACGCCTGCACTCTCTCCCCCGCTCTCTCTCGTGCACGCAGCAATTTTATGAATACAAAAAATGTATCCGTGGCGGACCTTGTCGATAATGTGGCGGGCCACAGATTAATTAATGTATGGGAAACACTGCTCATATTCATTAAAGTGTAGTACTAATGTTATAAAGACTTTACATTACATTAAATAACTTTTACATCACTGCTGTTAAAATGAAATATTATCATCCGTACATGTGTGGAATCCTAAACTTAAAGGCAAGGGTTGGTCATTTTCTAAAACTAGCATGATTTTGAAAGAAGCATTCCCTCAGTGCTGCGTCTACATCCAGCCCCTCCCCTCTGTGCTCCCTCAAAAGCCACGCCCCCTCACTTGCATGCACGAGCGCCGTTTCTCCAGAAGCATGCCTCAGCTCATCGCTGGAGATACTACGTCGTAAATTTACTGACGTGCTTTGAGCGTAGGCTAGGGCACGCATGGGGTAGAGAACGAGGCACGAGACAGGGAGGTTCCTGATTGGTTCATCAGATCGGTACCTCGTGGCAGACATTGGTCAAAGTTTTTACAGGCTTACAACTGCTTCAGAGAACAGATTTTCCTTGTTCCTTTTCCAGAGCACATGAATTCTAAATGTCTGTCAGGACCTAAAGACAATTTCAACGAAAATCTTTAAAAAGTTTTTCTGGAGAAAATTACCAACCCTGCCTTTAAACCACAGAGCGATGTCGGTGGAGAAGAGAACCTTCTAAAGTTACAAACAATGTAAGTGTTCTTACTGTACCTGTTTGTTAAAGTAGAGGAAACCTTTGGGGCAGTTGATGTTATGGAAAGGTGAGAAAGACTCAATTGCACCATCGATAATCATGGGGTGAAGCCTCAGGGCTCCGCGAGAGGTGACCAGCATCCAGTGAGGAGACGGCCCACAGATAAACACCTGTCACAACAAGCACGGGTGCGAGCGGGTTTGTCAGAGAGTACTTTATTATTGTTATTGCTCACAAAAAACAGTCAAAAAATGCTTGTCCTATTTTTAAAAAAGTGTCTAAAAATCAGCTTGATAAATTGGCTTTCTTACCCCTGAGTATCCAGAGATGTCCTCAAAGTATCTGAACCTGGCAATCCGACTTTTCACAGCTGAACTGTCCTCAGGAGCCCCGCTGTCTGTCTTCTTATCCCTCTTAAGCTTTGATTTCTTTTCTCTGTAGTTGATGTTGTGAGGCACCTGTGCAGGGTAAAGTCAAACATTAAAGATTCACTTCATTATAAACCACACTCAATGTAGTCCAAAAGAATCCAGAGCGGGTTCTTACTTTTTTGAAGCGCACTTTCAGGTTCGTCTGTTGCTGCTGATCGTACGGGAAAGCCTCGTATATTAGAAGCTCGTTTTCAACGTGGACCTTAAAAACAAAAACATTTATTAACATACCTAGTTCTCTTTTTTTATTCAACATTTTTATTTATTTATTTTCATGAAACATCTGCACCCTTGAACCTCCACAATAGGAATGGCTCCTCCAGTGCCTACATTTGTGTTTTTGCCTATTGTGCCGTCATTCCTTGAAATATTTGGAAGCGAGTCATATCCCTAAAAATCTTACATCTATTTAAGTATTTAAAGCTCGTGAGGAACTTTAATGTCTTGCACTGATTTTGGCGACACCTTAGGACAAGTGCTACCTCTTATCTCTGTGCACATTTTGTTTTGTGCGTGTGTACGGAGTGTTTTCATGTCATTCTTTAAACAACCAAAGGTATCATTATAGTATTTAACTGAACAAACATGTAGTTCCAAATGAATTCAAATCTAAGAAACATGACATAATATCTGTTAACTCACCATTAGTCATTTGAAGTCTGAGTATTTGTAAATTATTGTGATTGAGCCATTTGAATGAGCAAAGTGTGAAGGCCTCTTGAAAGCTTTAGAAATAATGCTCACTTTGGTATTTTTTATTGTAAAAAAAGGGTTGTCAAATTGTCAATATTTGGATAATTTTCAAATTTTCTTTTAAAACAATCACAGCTATTTTCTTCATCAAAAGTAAAGAAAGAACCAAAGCTTGAAAAAAATACAGATCTTTGTTGTTTTGGTACCAAAATGTTGCCAATTGATTTGTGCTACTGAGATAGTGTGCAGGAGTTTGCTTGCAATTTTTTGGTCATTAAAACAAGAAATGACGATACTGGGTGCCTTGGACTTCCATTTGTATCACTGTGGTAACAGGTATTGATCTCATTTGATTTCTGCTTGTCATATCATGTTAAAAATGTTGTAGTGTGACAACCCTAACTTAGATGTTACTTCTCTGAGTAAGTTCATATCCATAAAGTCTGCACAACCTCAAAGCTTTCACTGATACACTCGTAACTGTGATGGTTTTCATTTAGTACATTTAAACAGAATTTGTCAAGACGGCACCCCCCTCAGTCCACTTTCAAAGGGTTGATTGAGTGAGGCGCAAACACATCAATGAAATCAACAGGAGGACTCTTAAAGTAAGGACTCACCAATAAATAAGGTCTGCTTTGGTTGTTTCCAAGTGAAACCAAAGCCACCTCTCTAACCAGTGGCAAATCTCCTTGTCGTGTTACTTCCTCTTTTTTACCCTCCCCCTGTGTTGCTGATTGGCCGGCTGAACTGTCAACGAGCACTCTTTGACCAACCGGGAAGTTCTTCACCAGGAAAACTAACCGCCAGTCTGGGAGCTGGTAAATCTGTTGAAATGTAAGAAACAATCAGACAGTTAAAACAGGGATGTTAAGGAAAGATACTGCATTATGTGTATTTTTCAATGGTGCATTATATGCCCTTTCACCTCCATAACACCACTCTCCCTGGTGATCATGCACCAATGGGTGGGTTCGGCTTTGCCCGAGTTTCCATCACTTCCAAAATGACCCGGCCCCCCGGAGTTGTTGTTTGATTCCTCCCTCGCAAGTGCTGCACTCGCATTAGAGTCTCCATACAGCATTTCCTCCTCGTCATCTACGGCATTGCTGCAGACACACATTTAATAACATTTTAAGAATAGGTTACTCTTTCACTAAATATGACATGTGCATTGTTATGTGTTACGGAGGGTATTTTATTTACCTGAGGTCGTGAATGATGGTCTCTTCTTCAGACTGACCTGTGATGATTGTGTCATCTTTGACGGAGCAGCTCACTTTGTTTTCTGTGGTGAACATGCCGCTTACATCGCGGTACGCGCACAATGCTATCACACGAGATTGCTGTTTAAAAAAAGAATACGTTTTTAACAAGTTTAGCACAAATAAAAAGGATTTCTCTGAATATCGTGAAGCTTACAACGTAATGACTGAGTTTATAGAATCTGTGAATTTTAGGGTTTCTAAGTTTTTTTAACAGAATTGCAGAGAGTGACCCTGCTGAGAGCCAGGAGAACAAGCAACCCGAGAATGAGAGCTTTGGGGGGGGCGTGTTTGTTCAAAAGAAGAAGCCTGTTGAGCATGCTTTACTCACAGTGGGGATCTGCGGCTTCTGCAGGGCCAGCCGATGTGTCTTCCCCATGTAGGAGTCAGTCTTTAGCACAAACATGGTGACCACTCCGTCTGCAGTCATGATGACCACATAAGGGTCCGCCACAGAGCAGTGCACTATGGGAGAGCCCAGGTCCACAGGGATGAAGTGAAGCTGTGTCACTGGAGGCAAAAAAATCAGAGTACATGTCAGTAAAACAGGTTTGAATGATGTTAAACTCCTTATACTGGCCATAAAGGAAAATTAAAGTTGCTATTTTGTCTTACATATTTTCAGGTATAAATGACTAACATGCAGCTTCAAAACGAGCTATATTGTCTGATATGTAATTTTTTCAAACCTGATCAAATAACATTTGAGTTTTTGCCCCCTGCAGGTTCACACAGCTTTTAATTCTGACAACATAACAGAAATGATTGCCACAGAAACAGACAATTTTAAGGTGTGTTTTTTGTTTTACTTTTACAGATCAAGCTGTTGGCTGTGTCACTGTCTTCAAATCAACCAGCCTTCAATGACAGAACATGGTATGAGTAGCAACTCCTGCTTTGTCCTGAATACTACATTTCAGCCGATACAGCCCACTTTGCCAAAGTATAAATCTACAGGAATTTTCACTTCCTACTGTTTTCCAAAGAAATTACAACAAAAAAAAATAAAAATCTATTTCACCTCCTTCCAGAAGTCGAATACCCATGGGAGAAACTTGGATGATGTACTTGTTGTTGCCGATGTTTCCAGCAAACACTGTTGGTCCCTGAGTAGCAAAACCACTAGTGTCCAACTCCATGATCTCCTGACCCGTCTGAAGGATCTACAAAGAAAAAGAAAAACAGCCGAAGTCTTTTAGATACCATCGTCATGATATTCAAGACATGTTGTGTTTCTTGAGAGTTGTTAATGACGTGGGAAAGGAGCCACAGTTTGGACTTAAACCCTAACCACCCACTTGGAGGACTATAACATCCGTACAGGAGGATGTACGACCAAACTGCTAGGCCATCAGCGCCCCCTCCTTTTTACCTTAATTTATTGTAATTTAAACTGCCAGACAGATATTTATTGAAGTTTGGTTTTACCATAGTTGAATCCTCTCTGCTCAGAATGAGAAAGCCGTGCTTCTTTGTATCGTCCTCCAGGGGCGCCTCCGTCTTCTCCCCCTCCTCCTCTTTCTCTTCTTTCTCCTTCTCTCGCTCTTCACCATCCTCACCCGTCTCGGTTTCTGTCCCATCTTCTGAATCACTGCCTTTCACAGGCTAGAGGATAAAAATCAAATAAATCACATTTTTAAATTATTTTTTTGAAGCGGCCGACATCAATGATGAACCACATCAACACTCATTCCAGTGAAAACTGTGAGGCGGACACCAACTGTACTTTTTTGTCTTCCTTTACTTCATTTGAGATGACTGTCCACATGTCGTGGCAACCTGGCAACTCAAATGTAGTGACTACTTGGGGCCGGATGCTTCTCTGAGAACAGAAAGAAAAAGATTGAACAAAAGTCAAAGTCACAGACAGTTCACAGTACATTATCCGGCTTTCCACGCTCGTACGTATATACAGTAGCTACAAAATCACGTGTTAGCAGCTTGTGTCTGGGTTGTTTACAGGCTACTCCGTCGATCTCTGAGGCAGCCCTGGTAGACCCAGACTTTACTGTAGCACCATCACTGGACCTGTGGCAGACGGCCCTCGCGACCACAGGTTTTAGGACAGTGCATATACTATACATAACTGACCAGCACAGAAGCCACGAGAGGCAAGTGGAAAAAAAAATCTGGTGATCTACGGTTTTTCAGTCTGATCTGAGTTGTTTCTCTCTTTAGGAACAGGTAGAAAGCTTTAATTATTCCGCTAAATGTTTTTATTGCATCAGTGCTTAAGTCACAGACACATAAGAGAAAACTATTTTGTTCAGGAGGATCACTAACTTTTTTTTTCTCTCACTTGCCACGCAGGGCTTCAGTAAGACAGGAACAGTTGCATTAAAACAATAAATAAGAGTGAAGGGAGGTTTTACCTGGAGTACAGACAGAGCACCATTCTTGCCATTGCCAGAACACACCACAACCTCCAGGTCAGGTTCGGGGTTACCCTGGAACTGTGGGTAAGATGAGAACCAAGTCAGACACCTGTAAACACAGGAAATAATCTGCAGAGACACCAGGGAGTGTTTGAATGAGTGTACCTCTTCAGACAAGAAGGCGGGCTCGCCCATGGAGGCATTTGCACAAGGTCCTATGTTGAGTATGCTGTCACACACCTTTATGAAACACATAGAAAATATGAATTAGTCAACTTCCTCAAAGACCTGCATTTCCAAAGAAAAGCTATAGGGCTGTTAGGTGTTTGTTTTTGTTTTACCTCAAAGGAGTAGGTGGCCAGCTGAGTGCCTGATTGGGCCTCACTTCCATACACTTCTATCTCGTCCACCTCATCTGAAAAAATAAAAGATGAGGGAAACACAGCTTAGAAGATCTCTCACACACACACACATTTCTGGCACAAAAAACACATATATCTCAACATACCTGTCCAGTTGGTGGAAGATTCCATGCGTTTCTTTTTGCTTGGTGGTTCCTCCTGAAATGGATCAGTTATGTCAAATCAAACAGCATCCCGACTCATCACTATAACTAAACAATCGCACAGCATCTGGATTTGATCTCGTCTTTCATGCAATCACAAACACACCGGTTTCTCTTTATCTTTTTCTTTGTCCAGCGTTTCTTTTCCCTCCTCTGACGGCGTCTCCTGAAGCTTCTCGGTGTACTTCAAGAGCAGCGAATTTCCGAGGCGGGAACCCAGGAAAAGATAACCGGGTTCCATGGTCACCATCTGGAGAGGGAACACGCAGAGTGTGAGGGACGGCAGACTCTTCTGAAGTCTCTAAAAGCTGAAAACCTTTGTACATGTTGTGCATTTCCTTCATATTTAAAAATATATATGAGGAAATTACCTCTGGGTTTTGAGGAAGGTTTGGCTGAATTCTACTCAGAATTTTTATGATGAATCAGATTCTGATTTGCAATAAAATAATAAGCAAGAAATCGGTCTACTTTCAAAGTTCTCATGTCACATCAATATCCTTTATCATTATTAACTTAAGGCTGCAGTATGCAACATTTTAAAATAACTGATCCATCCGGGCCTTTGTGTTTATCCATAGATAAAAAAAGAAAAGTACATTTGTTCAAGAAAGAGAATTCCAGTCTCATCCAGTTGTTGTTGCTCACAGTTCCAACACAAACTTACACAAGTTGTCAGGACGCTGGCAGCAGCTTTGTCAAAGTGGAACGCCCGGACACTCCTCATGCCGTCAGTAATGAGGGTCAACACATAACTGTCAGAAAACAAGAGTCAGTGAGGATGCATGAACTACATCCATTCATCATTTTTGGACAATTTTCTTGGTAATCACACAGACTCACATTTCTCCTCCTTTCAAAGAGATGACCATTTTGTCATAGGCGATGAAGTCAGACTGGGAACAATCCAGTGTGATCTTCACTTCATCCTGTATACCTGGTAAATAACACATGTCATTTTGTGAGGGTAAAAGTCTAAATGATGGGTTTAGTCCATGAAAAAAAAAAAAGAAAGATATATAGGCGTGTGTTTTATGATGATGATACTCACGTAGAGGGAACGCTGTGGTCCCAGTTGTCTGAGAATTAAGAGAAACTCCGTATGGTGGAACACTCTGGTTGAGATACAGCAATGAATTCACAGCAAATACCACAACGCCACCTGAAAGATTAAGTGGAAATAAGCATCTCCAACTCGGACAGAAATGATTGTGATCTGGCAACTTTGGGATGACATCAAAAGGAGAGAATTCACTGAGCTCACCGATCGGCTTTGGGACAGGCATGACTTGCGTACAGTCAAAAGGCAGATTACTGAGCGACCAGATGACAGGATGAACCTTCTGCATTATGTTGAGGGAGATGGCAACTATACTGCAAGTGTCCTGACGCACAGCCACACGCCTGTCAGTTGAATCAGGAAATAAGTAGTTTGAGAAGTGTAAAAAAAAAGTCAGGTCCATATTTGTAGAAAACTCAGTCACCAACTTCAGCAGTAACTTTGTCCGTATATTAACTAGCTGAACCAAAACTAAAATAAATACTTCATCTAGTAGATCATTTTTTTGGACTTACCCCGGCCACGTCTGGTTGGGCTCAAACAGGATGAGCAACGTTGGCTCGTAGTAGCCATGGAGGAACTTCATGTCTATTATGTTCAGCAGCTTCTCGTCCAGCTCACGGACATCAATGATGTAGCTGGGCAGGAAGCTGGATTTAGGCCTGGGGATAAGAAGAACACGTAGATGAGAAATAGATAATGCATGTGGCACATATTAAACCCAATCCGTTTGATTTAGAAGTGTCTAGTGTCAGAAAAGTTTAACCAAAGAACAGCTTTACTGATACGGTGACCAATGTGTTTGAATTTTCAGTTGAAAAAAGGAAAAAACATTTTCTGTGAAATCATTTTTGCACCAACATGATGATGCAAAACTCAAAAGAATAATCTAATCTTAAACATTATACACTGTTTACCAATTTTAGCAAGAATCACCCTCTGCTCAGCTGCTCAGCTCTGCTACATGCAGCATTGACAGTACACACAGTATGGTAAACAATGCAGTTATAGAGCACTTGACCAGACAAACTACATGAAGTCACCATTTCTAAATAACCCCAAGGATGTTTTCTTTGAATAGTTGTGTCTGCATCATAACAGTGTATACCAGAAAACATATTCACTGACAGTGATGTATCTGTGACAGCCCAATAAAACGGATATTATCAACCAATAATATCAGACAAACAACTAATCGGTCAGCCTGTGAACGATCAGAAATAAACAAACTCAAGATCAGGTTTTGGTGCACCTAAGAAATTGACATGCAGGTATTTTCAGGCACTGCGGAGAAACTCAACAACCACAACAAGCAGACGGCAACTGTACCCTTCTCCGACTCCACCCTCCTGTTCATCAGTGAGAGTATCCTTCCTGAACGGCAACACCACAAGCTGGGTGCCATAAACGAGCATTACAGCGCAGCGATTCTCTGGATCAACACGCACAATGGGAATATGTACATTCTGCACAAAACCATCCTGAAAATGAAAAGAAAAACAGGATTCATAAGCTTGCTCATGTTAAACGTTTTTCTATTTTTTGACAGATAAATCTACAAACATTTTATTTTTTCCAATATATTTAGTGTTTCCTGTTCCCACAGTACATACTCTAAGCTCTGGCTCCTCAAAGAAATGAAGAGACAGCGTCTTCAGGTCGTGTGTCCCCGGGTCGTACTCCACTACAGATAACTATTGAAAGAAGAAACACACAAAGAGGTCAACTCAAATCAAGTTATTTTTGCCTATTATTTAATTTAGGCCATTAAAAATTACAGTTATTTAATGCTCAGCATAAAAAAAAAAAAATGATACCTTGGCGTCTTTGAAACTGAGAAGGAGTGCATCTCTGCTGGCTCCCACAAGCTGTACACTGGCCATGGACATAACATTGCCAAAAAGAGAAAAGGATGCCACTTGCTCCAGCTTCTCCTTACGGGATTTGGTATCTGCAGACAAAAAAAAAGTGAAGTCTGATCAAAATTAATGCAAATAACTAAGTTTGTATGACTGAGTAATGATAGAGTTGTAGTTTACTACTAATACTTTGAGTGTAAACACAATACATAACCTACCTGAAGACTTGTCAACCTTTGACGTACTCTGAAAAAAAAAAAAAAAAAAAAAAAAACATTAATGTCACACGCATCACTAAAAGACTTTGATGGTTTCATTGCTTGAGTTTCACAACATGAAACAAAGAAAACAATTGATTCGGAGGATTACAATTACCTCCACATCGTGGATAATTCTGTAGACGTACAGCTGAGACGTCCCAGCGACAACCAAGTTCTTCTCCTTGCTGGATATGAAGTTGCAGTAGACAGAAAACTCCACCGCAGTGGGCGTGTGGGCTTGTCTGTACACAGCATACATCCTGGTGGGATACCCTCAGCATCTGACAACACAGGTAGAAGCATATTTTAAAATCTCTAAAAAAAAAAGCACTCAGATGGTAACTGTCCCATTAGGAAACACACACACACACACAAAGTGTTTCTTTATAGGAAAAACGTGAGGGCCTTGTAAGTTGCAAGCAGTGGGAAACAAAGCTGAGTTTGGTTACTTAGTGAACTTACAGTTATATTGTATATATTAGTTCTGTTGTTCTATTATTCACCATGCACCTTAATAACTTATCATTTAGTATTTGCCTACTTGCACATAGTTCTGTATATATATATTTATTTCTCGTTTACTGCATATAATTCTGTTTACATCTGGTCACTACTGCACATAGTTCTGTATATATATATTTATTTCTCATTTACTGCACATAGTTCTGTTTACATCTGTTAGTCCGATCACTGTCCACTTATATCTACTCTTTTATATTTTGTATTTTTAAGTTAAGTTTAAGCTTTAAGATGTATTTAAATTGACACTTTCTATTTAGGTTAAAATGTTTTTTGTTTACTTGCACTGTTGTTCATTTACTGCTCTGTCTGTCTTTGAATTGCCCCCCGGGGACAAATAAAGTTTTTTGAATTGAATTGAACTGAAGTGTAGTGAAGATGTGTGTTGTCTTTAAAAAGGGAAGGAACAGCATCATATTCAAGCGACATGAAATATAAAAACCTGTGCTGGTTTTGGTGAACATTAACAAAAATCTAACATGCATACTGACCTCACATGTTACATTTTATACTATTAAATGCTTTTTTTGTTGTGGCTGTGACATCACTGAACAACCAGGTAAGCATTGTTTGATTGAATCATGCAAAAGATTTATAAATGTACATCATTGGGCTTTTGCAACGAGTAGGTCATTTTAACACCTTACTTTGTGTTAGTTAAACACGCACAGAGCACTTCACATGTGGGGACTTTGTTATGACTGAGCAGGGAAGGCAGGTAACGTTAGCTCTGTTAGCAACTCGATGATGTTACAGCGGCTGCACCTGACACGTTTTTCTGAGATGTTTTGGGTTTTTTTTTTTGCAAATAGTGAATTAAACCTGTCAACGTACCTATATCAATCACGTTATCAGAGTCTGCAGCTTTGCGTGTCCTTCTTCGTCTTACATTTAAGGCGTCATATTTTGTGGGGTTTTTCAAACTACAACTAGCTCCCCGACAGCTAGGTAAGCTAGCACTTAGCAACTTGTGTTGTTGCCGCTTCCTTCTTCTTCGTTTTTGTTTTTTTTTCCCTTTCTTTTCCGGCTGACAAGCTGCTCGGAGTCGTAATGCTGCCCCCCCGTGGTTAAAATGGTGTAATTGGAGCTGTAGCTTTCCGAGGTCCACTGATCTTCGTAGTACCATTACACAAAGTTTTGGAAAGTTTCATTAAGGCAATATAACTGTTCAAAGCAACATTTAACAATAAATCATGATTATTTTTTATAATAATTAATATAACTTATATTTATAGCATGTATTTATATTTATAGCATCCCATTAATCCAGGCATATATACCCAATAATTCACTTTCTTTTAGTCTACATCTGTAAATTTTGTAATTCCTTGTACATAGCACAGATTCTTGCACTTTCTGCTTATTTGCACTTCTGGTGAGATGCCAAACCTCATTTCGTTACTCTATACTTTTATATGTGTAATGACAATAAAGTTGAATCTCATCTCATAATAATCATGAAAATAACATATTTATAATAACTACATGTCCATGTAAGCAAACAGCTGGTGACAGTGGTTCTGAATGAAGAAAATCTCTGTGACTTTTCAATAAATACATCAGTCCATCTCCTAACTAACGTTACAGTTTTACATTGGTCGATGTTTGCAGCATGATTCCTTTTTCGCCTCTGTGTCTGCTGTGTGTAAATATTATTATAAGACATTCTGAAATAAATCTGAACAGAAAATAAATCTAACTTTGCTTTGAGCATGCAAAAAGGGCATTCTATAAAAATGTTTTAATTCCACTCCTTATGTTTCATAATTTGAAGGATCTTTATTTTTCTTAAAAACAATTATGATATTTACAAATACTCCAAAGCTGTTTTTTTTTTTTTTTTTTTTACAATGGGGAAAACAAACGCTTAAACAATTTCTGTTAAATAATCAAGATAAAAAATAAAACCTCCAGAACCTTGACATTGTAGAGTAACTTCAGGGAAACCCGATAAAAAAACAAAACAAATTAGAACACGAACATGAGCTACATTTTAAAGTCGAATCAGAATTTCGGTATATCACGTCATTACAGGCAGATAGTATAATAATTAGCACGGTGTGAATTGCATATCAAACTTTCATATTGATGCACCATAAAACTTCAAATAAAATCCCATTTTAATTTAAGCCCAAATTGGTCTGGATGAGCTGGCTTAGTGTTGTATTCAAGACAGAGACCAGAGTGCTCTGAGACAGAGATGAGACAAAGACATTTTAAAGTCGAATCAGAATTTCGGTATATCACGTCATTACAGGCAGATAGTATAATAATTAGCACGGTGTGAATTGCATATCAAACTTTCATATTGATGCACCATAAAACTTCAAATAAAATCCCATTTTAATTTAAGCCCAAATTGGTCTGGATGAGCTGGCTTAGTGTTGTATTCAAGACAGAGACCAGAGTGCTCTGAGACAGAGATGAGACAAAGACATTAAAGGATCGTGACAGAGTCAAGACCAAGACCAAGACAGGGCTAGACGGAGACAAAACCAAGACCATAAGACCGATTTCGAGGCTGGCTTACAAAGCGAGATCAAATAAGTGAATTGTAATTAAATTGGTTTATCGATATCCTGACGTTGTCAAATATTACAACAGTTAAATATTCTTTCTGATTTACAATTTGATAGTCTTTCCCATTATTGCCGCGCCTCAAGTTGTTTGCAACTAATTAAAGGCTGTCTCGTATTGACGCCTGTTCCAAACAAAGGCAGGGTTATTTTATAGACTAGAGTAAATAAAAGCCTGGGCTATTAACTGATTAATGTTTTTGGTATTCACACATTGATACAATCACCTATGAAGGTAAATCTAGAGCTATGTGCAGCAGATCAATAAGGGTTGATTAGTGAATCAAAATCTTTACAAAAAACTTAGATTGGATGCTTCAAAGTAAGGCAAAGACAATAAATGTTGCACGGATTAGCAATCCTTACACACATCAAATGACTATTACAAGTGAAATGTCATGTAATAGCTGTTGAGTTACTCAGTTTAAGCCACAGAAGGGAGTGGGATTGTGCTGAAAGGGCACGTTTTTAAGAAATAAAATCAAAGTGGGCAACTCGAGTTCAGGTTTCTGAGTTTCTCTTGATCAAACTTGACTTCACTGAAGGAAGTGGGGCTACAAATCAAACAGCCAACAACAAAATACTCAATGATATTTTGATAATGAAAGTGAAAATACCAAATGAAAACGATAACACGTTAGCCCTTTCAAGTCGAATGCACTTTCCAATCAAATGCAGGGAAATTAGAAGTCCTTTCTTTCTTCATATTTTATGCTCATCAGCGGCATCTCTTCATCCCGACTAATCCGTTTCCTCATCTGTGAATTCTCTGGCATGTAATGAGATACTCAGGAAAAGCTTGCGTATCGTTGAAGATGACAAACATTGACGGCTTGGTGATGTCGTCAGTCACGCTCTCGTATCTAAGGGGAATATCTCCGGTCTCCTTCAGAGGGGCCGTTTTCATCGAATGGCAGCCCTTGGTGTAGTCCCCTGTTAGAACCTTGGACACAAAAATAAATTTGTGTCCGTCTGCATTTGGGGGTGAATACTGATCCTGGACGGACAGTCCAGAGTTGACAGCAAAATACACCCCCTGGCCATAGACGGTGGCTGCATGGAGAAACCAAGATGTCAGCAATTAATACTCAAGATAACACAAACACAGTGACAACTAGAGACAATTTGTTAAAAACATACCATTCTTTCCACAGAAGCTTCTGTTGAACCCATGAACGCAGATCTCTTTCACACTCGTCTCACTTGTGCCATGGTAGAGTGTCCGTTCAATAACCGGATATGTGGCGCGCTGCAGTACACTGGCCTTCTTCAACTTGTACTGATTGTACAGGAGTCGATTCATGAGCTTCTCCACCTGATGGAAATGTGACTTTTAATATACACACCAAAAATGCTTCTTTTTTTTTGTTCACCCCCTCCACTTTTTGTCACAATTTTTGTTTACCTTTATGATTCTGATTTTGCTGTGATACTCTTGTATGGTCTCATAGAAACTTTTGATCACATTCTGAAATTCGTCAGAGTCCTCGTCGACTTTGCTTGCCTCAGGAAGGTTGGACAGCAGAGAGTATTCCTCTTCTACAAACAAACAGTTTTCATCAATGAAAGCATTATTTGAAAAAAAAAAAAAGAAGGGATTTATTTAAAAATTGCTTGCTAACATATAGCTACAGGGTGGTGCATTGGTTAGCACTGTTGCTCACAGCTAGAAGGTTCCTGTTTCCAATCCCTGTCGGATCAGACAGAGCCTTTCTGTGTGGAGTTTACATGTTCTCCCCGTGCATGCATGTGTACTCCGGCTTCCTCCCACAGTCCAAAGACATGTTCGTTAGGTTAACTGGTGACTCTAAATTGCCCGTAAGTGTGAATGTGACTGTGTCTGGTTGTCTGTCTCTGTATGTCAGCCCTGTGATTGACTGGCAAACAGTCCAGGGTGTAACCCCGCCTCTCGCCCAATGACAGCTGGGATCGGCTCCAGTCCCCCCTGGACCCAGAACGTGAAAAGCGGTATAGATAATGTTTGGATGGACGGACTTGCTAACATATACATGAAGTTCAAAATATGTAAAAAGATGATCAGACTGTTGATAATCAAAACAAAAATAAGTAGGGCTGAGGGCCGCACTGAAAAAGCCTTCGCACAATGCGGTGTGGTGCTTTTCAGTGTTTTCGACAACATAAACCAATTTAGCCGTGTCTCTCAAGGTTTACTGTGTCTTACCAGTAGGTGACGCTATGGCAAAATTGCAATTTTTCGCATGATGTGCAAATGTAACTTCCATCAAATATGTAAAGTTTGTCTCAGTGATACTGCTGTAGCATGCATTTTTAAACACTGTGGCTCTAACACATTGGCAATGTTCTGCAGAAAAAGACAAGACAACAAAGTTCCCTTTACCTGGCACATCGTCTTCCACATCCCCTATATCGATAATTTTCCTGAAGATTTTCACGGATTTCCCAGTAGCTATGTTGCATTCTTGCATCTTCTCAAAGTCCAGGGTGTGGGGCTGATTGTCCAGCAAAATGTCAACCGTTGTCTGCTTCTTCCTCCAAATATTCTCAATGAACACGGTAGCATCCGGCGAGTACGGAGTCATGTCTGAAGAGTCTGGGTCATGATGCAGCCACTGAACAGCTTTCAGGATTTCACGCTCGGGTACATAGTTGGAAATTTGTTCCAGCAGCAGGTTCACATCCGAAATTCCCCCAGGCACAAAATCCTTGAAGCCCGAAACAGTGATTATGGTTCCCTGAAGCTGAATCTCGACAGCATGCTTTCTCTTGATCAACTCGAGACAATTCCTGTGGTACTTAGACAGTTTCCTTAAAGCCCGGTGCTCTACTCTCTCCTCTACCTGTCTCAAGGAAACCTTCTTCCCGAAGGCTATTTCCACCCTACTCAGGTCAGAAGTATAAGCTGCAAACACATGCAGATGTATTGTGCTGGCTGCCTTCATGGCGTCCTGTATTACAGTATTCATGTTCTTGCTTATTTTGCCTACTTTGGGGCTTTTGTCAGTACTACTAGAGGAAACTTCATGTTGAACCATTGTCTTGGATAGCTCCAAGGCTCTTTGTAGCTGTTCCTCCTCATCCTCCACGGACCAATGGCTTGTCTCCATAGAGTACTGGATGGCTAAAGACAGTTGTGCCTCTTCTTCAAGCTCCATGGAGCGGCCCAGAGCTTCATCATCATCGTTCAGCTGGGGACACCCACCAGTAGCATTCTCCTCGGGCGAGAGCAGGGGAGCATCGACAACCATCAAACCCTGGTCCTGGTCTGCAGGGGTAGTTGGTGCCTCAGCTGTGTACAGATCCTCTTCATCCACATCATTGACTGTGTCTGAATTAGACACCGCCTCCTGGGGTCTTTCATCAATGGCTGAGACAATTCTCTTTGCCTCATCTAAAAGGCCTACAAAGAGGTAAACAGATTGTTTGAGACTGCACAGAAATATGATCAATAACTTCAGAGACAGATATTACCTTTGCCTGCAGCTTCATCATGATCAGTTTGCATTGAATCGGATTTTAACTCCTGTGAAGAACCACCCGGAGACATTCTCTGGAAGTTTTTGTGCGACATCAGTGTCCATGCAGCTTCAAGAATGTTCTGAAAAAACAACAGTCATCAAGATTATCATCACAAGTTTTGGGCTTTGTTTCTGCCTTCTTATTTCAATGTAGTAATACAAAGACAAATTTACTCCACTTTGGTCTTAAAGAGACTAAAGCGATTTCCCCACAGCCACTTCAAGAAAAAATTCACGACAGGCTGCCTTTGAAATCTTCAAGTTCAGAGTTGCCTGTTGACATCAGCACCTCACAGCAAGAGACTTTCCCTGTCAGACAGGAGTGGCGGAGTCTCCGAAGGCAAGAATTGTTTTTGAAAAAGGACGACGCGGATTACAAGAAAAAAGCTTTTGATGACTTCCATGTTGTTGAGTTCAAAAAGCAAGCTGCTAAAAGACAACATATTTGCATACAATGTTAACAGAATTAGCAATCAGAGAATATTGATTTTTTTTTTTTAAAGAAAAAAAAAAAGAAGTAATTTCTGCATTAAAAGATACTGAGTCAGATGTCTTGCTCCTCAAACTGTACGGTAACTGAATTATAAAAGAACTTCAATGTTGTTTTCACTAAATCAAACAACAGTCAATGATATCTCAAGCAATGTTTTTAAGACTTCTCTACCAATGTACAGGTATTTACTCAAAGACTGGGAGAGCATCATTTATCTCAAAACTCCGTATGTTTTGGAAAAAGTACCAGGAGTAATAAAGTTGTTGGGAGTCCTTCACAAAGCGTTATTGGAAAATACATTTGTTGTTAAAAACCCACTTACACATAGTTTAAGAAAATTCTGACAATCACCTAAGTTTTCTTATCTGGGATTTGTTCGCAGCTAAGAGCAAAATCTAGGAACATTTGAGAGCTGATAGTGCAAAAGCATATTTCTTGTGCTTTCTTACTTAATTTGGACATTCTCAGTGTCTATTTATTTACTTTTTTTCAATCCTGTGCGACCCTTGCGTATGCACACAGCCCTGCAGTCTCATAACCTAATACAGGAATCATAGGGTCTTTGTTAATTGGGGGGGAGGCGACGACGACGACATGCACAAGTTTCCAGCTTCCGAGGGCATGGCATTCATCGATTTAAGAGTACACAAGTGCATAATATTAAGCAGCTTAAGAAAGTGTCATGAATCTACCTGATACTTTTCTTAGCATCTTCTTAAGAAAGCATCGAATAAAAATCCAAAGGAAGTATCTTGAGGGACAGACAGCGTGAAACCATTGAACAGTGCCTGTGTTTTTAAAATCTTAAATTGTTGTTTTTGTTGTTGTGTCACAGCTCCCACACTTTCTTTTTATTGAAAACACTATGTTGTTAAGTTACTATCACTTAATTGCAACTTTTCTTTTGACATGTGCTTGCTGAACAGTGCCTGTGTTTTAAAATCTTAAATTGTTGTTTTATTGTCACAGCTCCCACACTTTCTTTTTATTGAAAACACTATGTTGTTAAGCTGTACTATCGCTTAATTGCAACTTTTCTTTTGACATGTGCTTGGCCAGGTCACCCTTGTGAAAGAGATCCTGATCTCAATGGGTTCTTTATCTGGTTAAATAAACTGTGTTTGACATTAAGCTGATAGCCAAGCAGCAGTAAAATGGCACAGTAATGCTGGCAGGCAGGACTTGTTCTGTAACACAGTAAACCTCTGTGTGTTTTGTCTGCCTGTGTGTGTGCTTGTTAAGTGAGCCTCAGGCTATTACTGTACACGGCATCAAGGCGCACAGCACTTGAATATGAATGAATAGCTGGCCAACTGAAAGGAAGTGAGATACAATGAGGTCACATATCACAGCTTCAAATACACAGAAGAAAAGAACAGATAAGAAAGTTGGTGATTAGTTCTATTATTTCAGTACCTGGTTTCGCAGTGGTTCCCAGGGCACATGCTGGATATTGATATAGACCTGGAACTTTCTCTGCATCTCCTCTAGGATGCTCTTGCAGTCCTCTACAACTAAAAAGCGGGTAATTCCAGGAGCACTAAAGGTGATGGTTTTGGTGAGGGTGGAGGAAACGATACCTTGCAACACCTCCTCAGCCATTTGACAGGCAATGGCAGGGCCATGGATCTAACATTACAGGGGATTAAAAAACAAAAAACAGAATCAGAAGGGCTACTGATTTTCCTTAACACATTTCAGCAAGTCGTACAAAATATATGGACATTTATTCACATGAAACTGATGCATCGCATACCTTTAACCCACAAACGTCTTCTGCTTCCAGTGGGAAAATGGACACTTGGTCCATGTCAGCCATCAGCTGATGACAATGGTTCTGGATGTATTTCAGCATGTCCGGTTCCATAGGGATGATCGTCTCCCTTTCAATGGGTGTAGTAAGAAACCCTATGATTGCAGTCTGCTTCTCACTCTCCATCTCTTTCAGAGTTAACACATCGATGTCCCTTTCTCGTTCCGACACCTTTACAGAGGTGAAACTCAGAGACTGCAGGAACTCAGTCCACTCCCTGCAATAGAACATGCACTCATATTCGGAGACCACAGTATGCTGAAGTGACAAATCTGTGATTTCAAAAAGCTACACCCCTGGTTCGCGGAGTTCTGACTTAGGGAGGTTACCAAAACATTACAGTCGGAAACGGTGTAAATAGAGGATAACCCAGATGCATTCATTGCTTTCTCTAGACGCTCTTTGACATCTGTTCTGGCGAGGAAATTAGCCATCTCTGGCTCAAGGGTGAAATGACTCTCAGCTTTTTGCCAAAAAAGTCCAAGATTGTGCCTTTTATCTGCTCTATCGTTTGTCTGTCAGCACCTGCAATGTGCACACCATTGTCTTTGATTTGGATGGTGAAATTTGGATGAGCCTTTTCAGTGTCTTGTTTAAAGCTGCTGAGTTGAAACAAAGCTAGTTTTGATGGCTCCGCAATAGGAATATGGCTTGTTGGTGCTTCTTCTTCTTCTTCTTCTTCTTCTTCTTCCTGCATTTGATCCTCAATGATCAGCTGCACCCATGACCTCGGCTGCACCCATGACCTCGGCTGCACCCATGACCTCGGCTGCACCCATGACCTCGGCTGCACCCATGACCTCGGCTGCATCCATGACCTCGGCTGCATCCATGACCTCGGCTGCATCCACTTCTACAGTGGCATGGCCAGCAAGGGACCCCGAAGCCATTCCGGAGGACGACTGGCTGTTAGCGCTGGCGACAATAGGAGGACTAGTCTGCATGGGGGTATCCCTCAGGTCCCTCAGGTCCTCGTTGTTTCTCTCAGTTGTGTCTCGGGCTTCTACTGCAGACTCTTGTGATGTTAAACTCTGTGCAGGTTGAAGAAAGTCGAAGAACGCCCTGACTTCAAGATCAGCTCCGTCCAGTTTGTGGCGCTGATCCAAAACCATGTCAACAGCTGAGAGAAGAAATACATGACAACATGTTGTTTGTTAAGGACAACGAAAAGGAAACATTTTTTCTAAAATAGTATTCTACAAAACTTACTTTGATAATTTGTGAAGGACAGTAGCCAGGGTGCAGTCCGTTTGTGGAGTCCGTTTGTTCAACCTGTTCGAGAGTTAACTTGGCTCCATCAAGGGTCCTCTTGGAGATTTTAGCACTAACGCTTTGGAAATCTGCAAAGAAACAATTAGACTATAATGATTCCATAAAAGTAAATGACAATTTCAAACGCTTTTGCAAAAAAAATCTGTGACTTTTAAAGATTAAAATAAAAAGTACTTCACCTTTAGAGAAGGGTTGGCTAAGATGAATGAGGATGAGGTCTCTCCCAGGTGACGGATGCAGACTGTAGTCATCCAGATTCATCATATTCTCCACAAAAAGCTCAATCATCTCGACGCTGGTCTTTGGGTTGATCCCTCGCAGCAGGAGTCTACATGGGTCTTTTGTGGCCGGCTTCCTCACACACAGCTCTGCATTATGCAGAACATGGTGGCCATTATCCAGCACTCGAGCTGCAGCTGTCAAAATCCAAAGAGCAGAAATAAAAAAGAAGAAAGCATGGTTTTCATTTTGTGCCGAGAATTAGCTTTTTCCTCTGAGCAGAGTAGAGCTCGTTTTCCAGGAGATTCTGGAGGAAACAAGAAGTGATTTTTAGGCACTACTTTAGGGTTGTTGTAAAACACTTTTTTAATCAAATTAAAGACATTTTAAGACCTTTTAAGACACAAACAAACGTTCATAAAATCTTTGCACCACGTAGCATAGGTTCTTTTTCGCATTTCTCATGGGACTTCACTGCTTTGTCTGCCATTGTTAATTTTAGTTAATTTTCTTTTGCATATCTTGCTAAACATTTAAAACTTTGCCAAAATTCATACATAATTCATCCCATAAATGCTGCTGTAAATGTTTCTGGTTAATTTCATGAATTGTCGTGTAGATAAAGAATCCAGACAGATTTAAGTCAAAGGGAAATCTAAAATGTAAGACCTCTTTTAAGTTAAAAAAAATAATAATTTTGAAGACGTTTTATCACCTTAAATTAAAAAAAATATTGTTTCAGACTTTTTAAGGCTCTGCAGAAAGTCTGCTCCCCCTAACTTGCTCAATATAAGATCGAGAAACTGACACAAATCTTAGAACAAATAGGAGTCAAATTAGTCAGACTTTTAATAAACACCTAAAATAAGATTCTGCAGATATCTGATCTTTGTTGAGCACTCACAACACGTTGTTTCGAAGCATCTCATGTCAAAAGCTTACACATGACAAATGAATTGATAAAACGACTCCGTGTTGCCACTTGCCTTCTGCCTCTTCAAACACCAGTAAGGCTCGGCCGGCCTTCTTCTCCACAGAAACGAGTGGACCTCCCCCGGAGCGCCGTTTGTTCTCAAAGTACAGAAAGAGCAGCTCCTCATCAACTTCTTCAGGCAGATCCAGCACCTCCAGTGTCCTCTCCTCCAGGTTTTCAACAGGCATCCTTAAAAGAAAACACAAGAACAGAGAAGCTCCTGAATTAGTGCTGGGGGGTTGGTGCCTTGCTCTAGGGCACCATGGCAGTGCTCAGGAAGTGATCCAGCACTTCTTAAGCTACCAGACCAATTTCCAGTCTAGGTCTGCACCAGGACTTGAATCCTCTGGTTTCAAACCAAAGTTCCTAAAGACTGAGCTACTGCTGCCTTCCTTTGATTGTTTTATACATTCAATTGAATATCTTTGCTTTATTGAATGCTTGTCGTCCATGATCAGTAAAAACAAAAAGGTATCACATGTCATCTTGGCTTTTGGAAATTGTGGTGTGGTGTGTAGAATCAAATGGTATCTGAGATTTTCAAATCATCTGATGATGATGACGATATCTAGGATGGTTTTGATGCTGTTGATGGCGATATATTCACTTTGAATAAAGGGGGGAAGAGTGCTTTACCTCTGTGCACTGCCTGCCATCACCTGAGTGTCCAATCGGACTTAAAGCTGTCAGCTTGCACTTACAGACGTTGTTCCCCTCCTTTCTAAATCCTGGCTTGTGTTGTACTTACTCTGATGTTCGTAGCTTTGGATAAAAGCGTCTGCCAAATTAACTGTAACAAAAAGGGTGGGTCCACACTGTAAAATTTCACACAAGGCCATAATATACAACACTACATGTCAAACTCCTGAAATAACATGAATGACAGTTTCATAACAACTAAAGCTGACACAGCACAGAGATATTCAATATTTTACAGATTGGAAAATTACAGGATCGTATTGGTGAAAATGTAAACTTAAATTAACGCAAGTCTTCACCATGTGACTTGTAATGATTTGAAAAATATCTGAGCACATTGATTATAAACAATGACTCACAACTCAAACAAATTAACATATTATTTAAATTGGGCAGTCAGAAGTACAAAGTTTCTGAGTTATAGGCCCATACATGTTAAACTTGGAAGTTTCCAGAACACATTCAATAACAGTGTATTGCTTTATTTTATTATTTTTTTAAAACATTTTGTTCAACCTTTAAAAACACATATCCTACATTACCTATTACTGAATACAGGAAAGATGTTTTACTCAGTTTTACCTCAGTGTTGTTGTTTTTCCACTGGTAGCCTCCTGACACACTCCCTCGTGTTGTTTACTTTCTGCACATGCATTTTACATTAGCAGCTAACAGGCTAATATTCTCCTACATGCTTTGTTTAGCTTGTAGGACTGTCAACATCGGTTTGCAGCTAAATTAAAGGATTTTTCACGTAAACTTAGGACTGACTAAAACTTAGCATGTCATGTTGGTTATCATGGCCTAGCTGACACTGAAAAGCTACCAAACAGGAAGCTCGTCCGGTTTATGATATCATGTATAAAGGGCAAGGTGTTGTGCAGCCTAAGTGTATTTTTCTAGGAGAAACTTTACCTCCAAAGACTTAAATGTAGTCACCGTGGAAAGACTTCGATGTGTTTTTACTGCGTAGTTTAGCTGAAGTTCGTATCAATTGCTGTCACTTCTAGAAAGTGAAACTAGTGGCTAGTTGCGATGTTTACACCCTTGAAGCTGGAGATTAAAGAGAACACTTTTATATCTAACGACAGGATTAGAACATATGTGTTCACGTAAGACTGACTGACACTTTCTAAAAGTGTTTCTTACCTTACAAGGAAAACATTGGTCGACATGCTCGTTCTGATCAAACGGGTTGAGCTGGTGACTCGGAACACTTCCTTGTTGTGCTGCTTGTTGAACAGCAGGGGGCGTCGTCAAGCGTCATGACCGTACGTCATGACCCACGTGTTAAAGGGGAACGGACAGGATGTCTGTGAATGAAGTGTCAAGATTTAAGATTTCCTTTTATTGATTTATTTACTCTCTGTAAGTCATGAACACACACATGCAGAAACAGAATCCTATAGACATGCACTAATGGAGAGATGTCAGAGTGACGGAGCGGCCCTTGGGGTTTGGTGCCTTGCTCAAGGGCACCTCGGCAGTGCTCAAGAGGTGATCTAGCACCTCTACAGCTACCAGACCAACTTCCATATTTGGTCCGCACCGGGACTTGAACCGGCGACCCTCCGCTTCCCAACCCAAGTCCTGAGCAGACTGAGCTACTGCCGCCCATGCTGTTGTCATGCCCTCTTTTAATCACTTCTCCATTAGAAAGCTTCATTAATGACACGATATATGACATTACATGATGTTATGAGATATTATAAGATATTATGACACATTATACAAAATTACATTACATTATTTTCTACAGTATGAAAAACAGTGTCTACGAACCTTCCATATTAAACGTTTATAGTAATCTATTTGTCATTTTATGTTCAATTTTTATTCTGCTCATAAAGATGATACCACACCACCAAACTGATCTTGTGGTTAAATTGATTTTAGCATGCAGATTGCCTTGATTTTCCACCACAGAAAGCTGGAGTGGAGAGGTAGGCTATATTTAGCCTACTCTGGATATGTAGCCTACATTTTCTGTATTTCTAAATTCTTTTTTATATATATATATTTTTTACAGAAATAAGTAGCCTTACTATTTGCTTTGCATTTGCTACCATTCAAAGCATCATCAAAATACAATGCATGGTTTTGGATTAAATAATTTCCAACTGCTAAACCATTTAATTTTGTCAGAAAGTTAACGCTTTAACAAGAGTGACTTAACAATGTGATGTATATATATATATATATATATATATTTTTTTTTTTTGGGGGGGGGGGGGGGGGGTTCAGTGTCTTGCTCAAGGGCACCTCAGACCACTGAGCTACTGCCGCCCTCAGTAATACTTTCAATTTACAGGTAAAATATGTTTTAACATTGTACTTAGCCCTACTTACTTTTTCCATTTCTTAGAATGTACCTTTTGATTACTTCTGAGAATTTCTAATAAAGTCAAAGCACCTTTCTTTAGTAGATATTTTCAGAGTATCATATAGTCATAACTTGATAAGATGCCACCATTAACAATATTAACCAGCATTATAAAAAGCCAGATAAAAAAAGTGAGGGTGGGCACAATAGCAGCATGAACTGCTTTAATTAAATAATCATAACTTGGAGTTATATTGCATGTACTGGAATGGTTGATCAGATGCAGTACTGATATGGAACTATCAGCGTGAGCTTAATTAAACAGAATTAGTATGGCAGCATGCTCAAACTCATGGACTATAAATGTTTTCATTAGAAGCGGTGTATGTTTGATTGTGATACTGAGTATCTTAAAATACAGAATAAATAGGCCTACAGAGTCAGAGTCAAGTTAACCTAACAGACATAGATCTCACCAGTGGATGTAAAATATGTAATCTACACTCAAACAGTGGATCAGTATACAGTACTGAATAGTATTTAGTGTAATTTGAGATTTAAATTAAATAGCTAGTAAGTAGAATCCATACACAGTGCACTCCTTTGTATATTGTCTTTCCACATCTTTATCATGAGCTTATACATACATAATCACCTTACCAATGAGAGCATGTTGAAATTTTAATGTAACATGTGCAGTCAATAAAGGCAGAGCCATAAATACTATTTAAAGTGCTTCATAGCATTTGTTGCCATGTTATCCCTCTTGAAATCAGGACATCATGTATTTATAACTATAAATCATTTTAACCCCCTTAAACCTTCAAAAAACTGAGACGTGTCTTTCTATACATTTCAGCAAAAAACCTTCAACTATGTTTCTCGTATTATTGTCGGAGTCAAAGCCACTGAAAGGAATAAATGAACTATGTGAGCTTTTCATTATTCTAATTAGTTCTTATTCATATCTTCTTGACAGGAAGCAAACTACAGAACAGGATTTTTCTTGGAGCAGCCTGAATGGATTTTTTTTTTAAAGATATTCAACAATCAAGACTGCATGAAAAGGGAGATCACGTACAGGCACAATGACAGACTTTTAATTATTTTTGAACATTGAACATTGAATTCAATTAATATTAAGTCATCACATGAGTCAAGTTAGGATTTGGATGCATATCCTTTTCCACTAGGTGGCAGTGTCCCCTGTAAAGTTAAAGCACACATATACGTAAAAGGTGGCAGCGCAAGTGGTCAGAATCCATTTCCATAGAAAAGAATATAAAGGGATTAGGTTGACTGACATTTGTGTATAGACTGGGAGGTGGAGAAGGAGTGGCAGTGATGCATTTCTCCCCTGTTGTTCACAGACAATAGATCTGTTGGTTTGCCAATGTAAAGATGTTTCTCAAGCAGAATCCTTCATGATGGACACAAAACCAGACAGACAAGGTTTCAATAGTTCAAGTTAGAGAGCGTAAAACATTCTTTCAGTATAAGTTAAGCAGTAAAGGGTTATAAGGTTCATTTGGTGGTCATGCTGCAGCACATATGGCCTTGATATCGTTTGCCTGTGAACTTTGGATTTTGGGTTTGTTTGCCATCAACAGGATGACTTTATATGCTTAATCTCCATATTGTACACAGGCCAAATGTTTTTTTCCCCAGCTATGGCGCCATGAGTTTCCAAAAGGTGGCTGAGCAGTTTGAGTTGTAGTGATTTCCTTTGACAACCTTTAGGTGGTCAGAATCCATTTCCATAGAAAAGAATATAAAGGGATTAGGCTGACTGACATTTGTGTATAGACTGGGCGGTGGAGAATGAGTGGCAGTGATGCATTTCTCCCCTGTTGTTCACAGACAATAGATCTGTTGGTTTGCCAATGTAAAGATGTTTCTCAAGCAGAATCCTTCATGATGGACACAAAACCAGACAGACAAGGTTTCAAGAGTTCAAGTTAGAGTGTGTAAAACATACTTTCAGTATAAGTTAAGCAGTAAAGGGTTATTAGGTTCATTTGGTGGTGATGCTGCAGCACATATGGCCTTGATATTGTTTGCCTGTGAACTTTGGATTTTGGGTTTGTTTGCCATCAACAGGATGACTTTATATGCTTAATCTCCATATTGTACACAGGCCAAATGCTTTTTCCCCCAGCTATGGCGCCATGAGTTTCCAAACTGTCTTGCACTGAATCCAAACAGACCTGGAGCTGTAAAGGAATAGAAGCATTGTGTGTAAAACAACAGTTTCCTACACATGTTCATCTGAGTATTTTCAGAATTTTCAGAATCATCTTTTCAATGAAAGTATAGTTTTTACTCAACATAGAGAAAATTGTCTTGGTAAACATTTGAGCAGCACGTGTTTGACAAGGTCATACATGAAACATGACCTCACAAAGTGTTTATTCTTGCATCATTGTCACACATTCGGATAGCAAGCATGAGCTAAGAATCCCATTGGAAGGATATCATCAAGAGCCTCAAGAACTAATGAAGGAGTTTGGAAAAGGTAGGAATTTTAATCAGAACATGCCAAGGCATCTAAGCAATTTCTACTCTTTTGAAATTTACCTACACAAGAGGTTTTTTTTTTTGTATTTTTCATCAATGACATAAGTCTTTATATAAACAACTCTAACAGAGGTTGGGGTGAACGTCATACTTTTGGCTGTGCCTCTTAACGCAGATTAAGAGAAATGTACATGTGACAGCTGTTCCATGGGGGGGAAAAAAACGGTATATATTATATTAAACAAAACATCCTATGAGCATTATTTAAACTTTTTGAAAAGGAGTATGCTATAATATGTGACCTTCAAACATGACACATCACTCCTGTTCACTAGCACACTAATGTTGCACCACTCCTAATTGTATATGCACATTTTTAGTGGTATGTTACTCTTACTCAATCAACATATTGAACAAATGCAGCATGGCAAACATTGTTTAAATTTACATTAAAATAATAGGTCACAAGCCAATGCCACCTAAGCCATACAATGACTCTAACTGGCGCATGTTGTGGTGTGGTGTGGGAAGGGTTTGCTTAATGTATAGCACCACTTGGTCTTTTCACATTCCAGTTTTATATTAACAAAATGCCCTGTAGCAGGCATTTATGGTGCTACATTTTCTAGTTTATCAAAGCTAAGATGTTGCTATAGCTAGCTGGGCTAGGATAGAAAATTACTTCAATCCGGATATGTGACAGACATCTTAATCATATTTGAAATATGAGGATGTTTTATCTAACATGTTTTATATCTGCGCTTTAAACATTTAATCTTACATTGTTTCATAAATCATATAGGCCTAGTGGAATCGATCTATGTTAATGTTAGCGTTCATGGTTAAGATAGCTGCTAGCCGTGCTAATAAAGGAGTGTGACAGACTTGGAAACTTGGATCATAAATATAAAACGTTTTATATGACATGAGTAATTTCTGTTGTTTGGACATTTAACAATGAATACATTGAATGTGTAATCGTCACATCAGTCATGTAATTGACAGCTCAAGGGACATTAATGCTGATGTGTTCTTGACCACTAGGTGGCAGTGTTAACGGAAGATCCTGTGTACAACACCACAGTTGTTGTGAATTGGCTCAGTAATTTGAATTAAACAAATGTTGTGGTTTCTTCTCATCCGCCTGCTGCTCCCATAAAGACAAGGAACAGGCAAATGTCCCATAATGATTCAAGGCACCTGGAGGAAATAGGCTCTTAGATGAGCTCCACAGAGCACATCGTGACCACTCTGGAATAAGATTTCAAACTAATGATTTGATTGATGAAAATGGTAACTTGAGAGCAGAATGAGAGCTTCTGTGTTTCTTATGCCTCTAACACACCAGAACCCTTTGCAAAAACTCAATTAGGACTATTTAAAGACTAACGTCTGACACCCTCTCACATCGAAAGACAATGTGTCGGCAACTCACAGAGTTTTTAGTCACATACAAAGACTTTATAAAGACAAACTGCAAGGTCACTAACTGCAAGGTAACACCTATATCTCTTTGAGTTAATTTCCCAGCATGCACATTGTAGAAATGTACAACTACAACTTAAGGGCAAAAATAAATATAGTTTATTTAGGGGGGGATTTCAAAACTGGATTAGGGGTGATAATATGACTATATGGCAACCTTGATTTATAATTAGATCATATTTGTTTTATGTTTTAATGGAGGCCAGAAAGTTGGAATTTTTAAGCATTACCTTGCCAAGTTTACATTATTCTTCAAAGAGTTATCTATTTTTCAAGTCTCTTTGAAACATATAAGATCTACCTTATACCTCATGAATGCCTTTCTAGTCTTTAACCTAATCAGACCCCAACAGCAGTTAAAAAATAATTCAATTACTGTTATACTGAGTCCGCTCCTCCTGGTTGTTGACAATGGCCAAGTCATTGAACAACATAATTTGCATGAAACAAGACTAAAGACCTGGGTTAATATTAACATGTTTAATTTATCATAACGCCAAGACGAGAAAAAGACTGCCTTGAAACAGCTCGGATTGAGGTTAATGACCACCTTATACCAAACGACGAGATCACGGGAGCCCGCCCCAACAATAAAACTCTCTTGATTTTACTCCCATTTTGGAAATGTGTCTTTGACTTTAAAATGGCTTGAAAAGTCGCTAGGTGTAAAGCCAGCATTAAATTACAGTCTTAAGTAACATATTATGCAACAAGCACTTTACCAAGGTTTCTCTAACACTAATATGTGTCTCTAGTCTGTCTACGAAGCCCATCGGAGACGGAGCCCATCCTCTTGTTCTCTTGCCTGCTCCACTTTTCAGAAAATGTGTGATCAAACATGCTGTTTGAGATTTTCCCATCATGACATCACAAAGGACAGTAACCCCTCCCCCCTGTGGGTGACACTCCCACAGCTAGGTGTTTGTTCTGCCTTCTGAGTCCTCCTTTCCACTGTAAACAATAGGACATGGAGCAAGAAAGCCTGAGCGTCATACCTTTCCATGGTCAGACACAGCTCATTTACATTTAAAGCTACAGACACAGAAACAGCCTGTTCGGAGCAGGGCTGAAATAAAGGGGTTTATAGGCATGATCAAATACTAGACTGGAGTAGATTTTAAGCAACAAACGTTTTGGGGAGCTCTGAGACTTTAAACATGTTAAAAGGAGTACAATATGTGACCTTAAATGAAGTCGTCACACATGGACAAAAAGTTCAGAGTGCAGTTTATAATTTAAAATTGAGACAAGCTTGTAAAGCCATACTGACTATCATACACTTGTAATCAAACATTTTATTCTGTGGCATCAACAAAATGATATTACTGATAAAGAATTAATATGATACACTATACACATGAACCATGCATATTATTCTTCAAATTAACACTCTATACGCAACAATAATATTTAAACATGTGAAGATTAATTCAAATGTTGTAACACTAATAATTCTAAAAAAAAATCCATTAAAGGCACTTAACTCCTACTGTTTTATGAAAAGATATATTACAATGTACATAATAATGACAGAACATCATTGATTATATTCATAAGGCACCCTATAGGCTGTATTAAATGTCAGATTTCTGCAAATAAATAACAGCTTTCTATACATTGATGAATAAGCTGTTGTGTTGTATAGCCTCTCAAACATTTCTTTAGTTATTTTTTTCATAAAATCTACAATAGCAGAACTCTACTGTACATCAGGACTTTTCAAAAATCAACCCTTAAACAATGTGTTTCATCATTAATTACCCATTTTGTAATAAGCCATGCAGTTAAATTACATGAGTAAAACTGACGTTCATTCTCACATTTTTAGGACAATGTATGTGCTAACTTTGACACAGGTTGAGAACTTTAGGCCTCATTCACTAACACGTCTTAAAAATAACCTTTCTTCTTAAAACCCACGTACACATGATCTCAAGAGGATTCTGACATCCGTCACCAAAGTTGTCTTTGTAAGGATTTGTTCTTAGCTAAGAAGTGCATCTACAAACACTTGTGAGCAAACTTGTGGCTATGCCAGGGCAAAATTATCAGGTATTGTGTTTGTCTTAGTTTTGCACCATTGTAGGTGTACTGTATATAAATACTCGATATTAGTGTAGCCAGCTTTCATTTCAGTTGTATTGTGGTTGGTCTAAACTGCAAACTGTTTACATGTTGCAAAATGTTTACAATGTGACAACATATAGTTAGTGTCTCCCATTTTTGCAAACTTTTACTATGAAAATATTAGATCAGATTTAATTCACTTGATCTGTTGTCTCTTTTGTCTGGTGACAGCGTTCTCTAGTTCATTGATATCATCCGATACATCTTTTTGAGGAAACATTGAGAGTCAGGTACATAAACTTTTAAAAGATTTGAATGTGGCTCTTGGCCTGTCTTTTAAATCCTGTGTGGGCCTTAAAGGGGCAGTTTTTTTTTTTGCTAATTAAAAATAACTGGCACAAGTTTCCAACTTACAAGGGCTTAGCATTCATCAGTTTAAGAACACAGGCTGTGTGAACATTTCAAACAGGTCTACAAATCTTCCTTGACTTCTTGAGAACAGAAATGTAAGAAAAAGCTTAGAAATACATGGTGAATGATGCCCTTTGCTCAGGGTTGCAGCTACAGTATACTTGTTCTGCTTGAGTTGAAGCTAAAGTCTATAGCCAAGCTAGGGGCTTTGTGTATCCTTACACAGGCACATTGGTGCATTGACCTAAATGCTAACAATAGCATCCAGCTAATGCTCACGCAGCAATGCTAACATGCTGATGTGAAACAGCACAATGATTATCACGTTCACCAAGTATGTTTAGCCTTTTAGCATGCTAGTATTTTCTAAATAGCATGGCAAACAATCTCCATCTGAGGCTAATGGCATATCATTGGTTTTGCAAGTATTTGGTTGCACTGTGTTACTGGACAAATTTCATTTTTGACTTGATGATGACATTACAGTAAATACAAACCACCAACGTTTTCACAGTTCATTAGGGGGGTGGGGGCATAAATATAGGTACCAAATTTCACCACAATAATAGTTGATGACATACTGTATGTCATAAAAAAATAATTACAAATGAAAATCTAATGGGGTAAAATCTGAAGAACAGGAAGTCAAGATTCCTTTCCGGAGTCCATAAATGTCTAAACATAAATTGTAGGCTTTTTATATTTTTCTCTTATTAAAGCTATTTCTTTGTCGCTATTATCCCAGGTATCCCTTGGACTTGACAAACAGTATTACTGTATAGCTCAGACAAGCAAATGAAAGTAGCTTTGTAGTTCTGGTAGTTAATAACAATTTGTTGCATGTGTTTTAATACCAATAATACTCCTTTTCAGATCTATTACAACTGATTTTAGCCCATACATACTGTACATCAACAGAGTAATAATGACACATTGACTATGGCTGTCAACAACGTTAACAAACCGTCCAACGGTCAGATTCCAAACCATTGGAAGAAAAAAGAACATAAAGAGAACACACATACTTTTAAATAGTATAGTATGTCTGCTGACAAGTCAGACACATTTCATTTGTTATGCCCAGACCATACAGAATGTTCCCTAGATCATAATGCATACCATGGGAGTAGGAGTGGCAATGTTGCTTTTCTCCTGTGTGTTTTCTGTGACAAAACATCGGTTGGTTTGTCAGTAAGACAAGTATGACATTTCTCAAACAGTGGCTTAGTTAAAGGACGTGAAACAGGACAGACCAGAGTTCCAGAGTTTGAATGTGTTCTTGAAGGTCGGAACATTCTTCCTGCATGAGATAAAGAGAAGATAAGAAGTAAGAAAGGCTCTTCAGGGTCATTTGGTGGTCATCCCACTACACATATGGGCCCATCATCATCTGCCTTTGAACATTCGGATTTTGTGCTTGTCTGCGAGCAGCAGAGTGACATTATATTCAAAATCTCCATCATGGACTCCTGTGTGTCGGAAGGCTCCCGCCAAATGGTTCTCCTCCCAGTAATGGTGCCAGTTTCCATACTGGTCTGCCCCGAATCCATACACACTGACCTGGAGCAGATATGAAGAAAAGCATCATGCATATGTTGAAATCAACATGCTTTTAGTTCATCATTTTTCTATTACAGCATTCTAAAAATGCAGTGTAAAATGATATCAAGCAACGTGGCCTTCTAAATGTATTCCACTTTACTGAAGATTTTTCTGAGGTCATTCATGTCGCATTGCTTCAAGTGTTTCAACTTACCTCATCACATATGTGGATAGCCAGCAGCAAGCTGAGAAATCCAGTGGAAGGATATCGTCCATGACCCTCAAGCCAAGACTCATAAACATACTTGAAAAACGTTGGACTGTATATTAGAACCTGCAAAAGAAGAAATAACAAAGTCTGAAAAAAGCCCTATACAAGAAAAGGTCTGCATTTAAATTGGCACCAACTGACTGACATGCTTAACAGACATCCAATTTCCAAAACCATCTGCTATCGTCTGACAACAACCACATATGCCTCTGGGAACAATGGCCAACTTCTCAGTTATTTCAGGGAGCCAATACTTCCTTTTTTGTTTACAGGCCAATTAGCATTTTGAGAAGCAACCATGTGTTCTGAACAAAAGTGAAATGAAATTTACCCCTTGAAATATGTCTGAAAAGTAAATGCTGTCATTTCTTGGTAAATCGTTTCTTGCTACATCGGCTAGAGGAGCACCCGTTCATTTGTTTTTTGATGAGTTTCAGTTGAACTGTAAATAAATAATCACGAGGAAGCTTAACTCTGGCTACTTTAAGATGTATAAGCTCAAAAATTAAACCACTTTTCTGGTTTTTGGCATTTAATAGGTCAGTAAGTAAGTACATTTTTGCATCAAGATGCAGACGTAAAGAAGAAACCCTTGTCAAGTCTGTCCTTATGCGATGAAATATTTGTTTGTTGAATGAGGGTTGTACCAGTCATTTCGGATGCCTTTTAGGAAGTCTGAAAATCTAAACACAGATTGGCTTGTCATGGCACAGTGTCAGGTAGATTGTTTGCTCAAGTTGAAATTGTTGAGCATGGATTGTTCGCTGCACTTGCAGGCAAATATCTGTTTTTGAGAAATAAATGAATTCTCCTGATGGGAGCCAGTATGTAATCACAGCAGATTGCGTTCCACCTGCATTTGTTCTCCACACTGACTGTGTTTCCTGCAACCAAAGTATGCTTTGGTCAATACTACTCGGACTCCACACAAACTAGAAATGGAAACCAAAACACTTTCCACACTAAAATCAAAACCCTGAGTACCGATGCTACATTTTCATTTAGAATCTGTAAATATAGATTAACAGGTGTTAAAAAGAACAATGTAGAAAAAGTCTGCCTTCTCTCTGATGGTTCAATAGGTAGGTCATATAGTCCTTCAGTCTGTGTCATAACCATAGACTCTTAATATTAATGGATGAATGTGTGACGTCACCCATCTGTCAGCAGATGCAGAGAAATCCTGTCTCACCCTAACTTTCAGTCAACCTAACGACAGGCTGAAAGCTGGAGCTGAGGCGGGTTTTAAGACTGATGATAAACCGTTACATCGTGCCCAACCACCTGTCAATCATGTAAGCTATGCGCTTAACCATGGATAACACTTATCGTTCATAAAATCAAAACGGAGCCGTTTAAAAAAAAGGAAATTCATCCCCCGTACAGTGTGTTTCCATGACGACAATAACTAATCAGACCTATTTTGTTTTTGATACCAGCTGTAAACATGTTAATGTCTATAAAAACTGTTTTTTTGGCTGTGGCGTGTATGTGACTTCCAGGGTTCCTAGAGCTAGCCCCAATCGCACCCTCGACTTGACGAACTGCAGGATTTTTGCATTTCGGCATTGGCTTAATTTTTCAAGATCGGAGGGATCTCTAAAGAAATAATCATTTGACCCATGATAATACTAATAACAAACAGTCCAGTTCTTCAAAATTTGTATACCCTGTTTGAAGATATACTTCACCCTTAGAGAAGGCACAGAACTAAGATGACTGTACTGTGATGGAACACAATAATGCTGAGACTGAGAACCTAAACAGACATGATGATGTCATTATATTGACATTTTATACCAAATGTGTAAAGGTATATGGCATATGGGTTAAACATTTCTTAAACATTTAATTAGCTGTTATGAAATAAACTATAGAAAGGCAAATGATGACACATACCAAGCGGCAGGACTTCATCTATGTCATGTTAAGAATGTTTAAGCAACTCCATGACTGAACTCCTGACTCAGACAAAGCCCCTATACCTCCCGTCTCAGCCCCTTGCCCACTTTATTTTTTTAGAATAGTTTTTTTGTGAATTGATGTAACAGCACATTTCTAAATATATGATTGCCAAACTAATGCATATGAAATAAAAATTTAAAAAAAAAATATAACTCACCTTATCTTTGTTTGCCGTTATCCTGGACATAACAGGTATATATGTGCTGTGACAAAAGATAAGAACAGAGGGTTTATTTTCCTTTTTAATTTCCTTTAAAATCTCAAAACATTTGACACATTTCTGCTTGTTTGTCTTTCGTAACTGGTATAATTACACAATCACACACGTTTTTCATAACTAAGAACATTTAAAAATATAAAGTAAGTGTCTTTTTTGTACAAATTCACAAGGGAAGCTGTTCATGTGCAGGTTTCTGAAGTCATCGCAGTAACATGCTCATTGTCATGTTTTTTTTTGTTGTGTTTTTTGCATTTTGAATTATTCATCATAGAAGAGCATGCAGTGCAGAGATGTGCTTCATTCCAGGTAGGCAAGGTTAAAACATGAAACTGGGAGAGGCACTTTGAACAAAGGTGGGAGCTGCTCCCTGGAGGTGTCCATATTCAGTTTGCTCCTGAAAATGTCTACATTTTCATAAAGCAAAAGTTGCATTATTACAATTTTCCAGAAGAAAAGGAAGCTAAAAGGACAACCATGATTAGCTGACAAATTAACAAATCTAGAGTGTGAATTCTACATGAAGCCTGTGCGGACTTGGATGAAAAAGTGAAGGGATGGCATACAAATGACTCAAATGAAATGTAATGAGTATATGGCAAGATACAATCCAGACAAACGTTTCCAATTAAAGAAATGGTTTATCAATGCTATTTCCTCTGCAGCAGAGGGTCTCATTAAAATTCAAAGATTGCACTGACTTGTCCAGTGCTGTTTGATATCATGTGCTGTACAATATAACAGTCCAGCCAGTTTCTCTTCCTCTTGCGGTGTATGAATATGAAAACGGGCTGCCCATATGTCTGGTGCTGTATATTACACACTGCATTATAAAGTTAGAAAGTACATCATTCAACACACGCGCACACACACACACACACACACACACACACACACACAGACTTGACAATTTCACATATAGAGAGGTGCTTGAGTTTCAGGAGCGCTAACTTCAAAGTCAGGAGTGTGAATATGGACGAGAAGCAGTGAGCCCCGTACCCTCTTCACACAGTTCTTTGTGTATGGAAATAATTTGACAAAATATTCACCACACTCAGTGAAGAGCTAATGGCTGGTGGGCTAATGCTGACATTACTGGCAGTAAAGTGGAATTTAATGATGCAGAAAGATTGCTCTGGCAGAGTTGGAAGACAACAGCACATTTTATAGGAAACATTTGTTGGGATTTGCTCGTCCTTCTACCATCTAACATGTTGCCGTGTTTGAGTTATTGGCAGTGGCATTAATTGGCAGTTGTTTCATCTTTCCCCGGATGTCCAGTAATTAAGATAATGATTACGAGTCACTGGGAATCAAAGTGAAATTTACTGGAAGATTAAAACTGAGGGATTATCCTTGTTTTGGCAATCTGACAAACAGGGGCATCCAGTGAATGTGATTGTTGTGACAATCAGGTTTTTGTAGAGTGTAAATGACTCTGGGGCTGCAAGACAAACATGAAGCATTATAATGCATGCAAGCCTTTCATATTTCTAAGACAGTTAAAGTCATTGAACTGAACTTTTATTGTGAGGTACATTTTTTTTTTTTTACAAATTATCACATTCATTAATTCAATAAGACATTTTAAAATAATAGCCTTAATCAGAGGCCCCCTTGTTTTAGATGTAGAATAGATATTGCTTGGCAGGATATGAAAATTTAGACCCTGGCATCAAAGACCTGCCCATTGTTATTAATAAAGAGTGTTTTAAATGTTATGTCTTCACCTTTTAAATGTAACTAATTATACTGCTAAAACAAATGTGTTAGCTTAGCTTTAGCTTTCACTGTTATTGTTGCACCTAATGACATGTTACCAAATTCAATTTAGACCTCACTTTTAAACCTTGTTGAACTGTTTGGCTACTAGCTGTAACTCAACATTGACAAGTCATCTAATTCAGTTTTACAGCTAAAATATTAAAGCAATTCACTCATCTGGCAGACATACATGGCAGCTCATGGACAGTGTTAGGAGTACCATGTTATCAAAGGAAGAAAGTGCGACTTTTTAATCCAGTAGATGTTGCCCTTGAGCACCAGCACTAAATCACTTAGAGTCATGTTTCTGGCCCTTTGATGAATGCAAAGCCAGCACAATTTCCCTTTAAAGTCTCTTTTCGTCTCCACCAACTCCTTACAAATAAATGTCTCTTTAGCATCTAAATGTTCCACTTGATTTACCAGCTTGATACTAAAAGAACACAATCTGTTACTTATGTGGTTCAACAACAATGAACGTTAAAAAAAAAAAGGCTCTCCAGCAGCAGATTGATTCTTGTGGATTCATCACGAGAAGCATTGACTTTCATGTTACAACTAATTCATTCTAAACTAAATCATATTGATAAGTGCTGCTTATCATATGCATAATTATACTTACTGTTTAATGGTTCCCGTTGTAAGAGCACTAACAATCCACTGCAGGTCCAGTGTCTTAAAGGGGATCAGCACCAGGCTGGTGGAATTGTCCAGGTCTATGGCACTTTCTGGATACATGACATGATGTGTCGTCCTCGCACCCACATCCTCCTCAAAACCGGAGGTGGGAGCCTGATTCATTCTGCAAGGACAAAGAAGCAAAGGTTGTTTTTATTCTGGCTGCCATACCAATTTTTTTCTATTCCATTGCAGCTCAGATTGAGGTTTATTTCACCTGCATGTTATGAAGATGGAAAACCTTTGACTTTGTTGTGCCAATACCCACCAGCTATAAATATGTAAGCTGACCAGGTGGTACATACTTTAGACATCGAAACCAGACATGGTAACTATTTCAACAAGAAACATTGAAACCTAAAGGACAATGTGTCCCACTTAACAATATGTTGGAGATCCAAATAGCAATTCAGAACCATCCGGTGTCCAATCAAAGCAGAACAATTACCGTTTGGCAAGAGAGACAAGGCAGCCCTATTATTATGGGCAACAATACTCTCTCAGGGGCTGGGGCAGTAATTGGCAGGAACACAGTTTGACAGTGTCGGTTGGTCAGTGGGAGGAAGTGACACACAGAAGAAACATTTTAATCTGACTCCATGTGTATCCGGCATCACCTGTTAGATGCTCCAGTCAGAGGAGTATCATCTTCCTCATTACTGACTCTGAGATGACAGCTATACAACAGTTTGACATTTGCAGCCTGAGCCTGTCAGAACCTCAGACGGACCTCCTGCAAAAGGCATTTTGTGTCTCGGCTATCTCAGAGTCAATGACATTTGTTTTGGCTATTTCATGTTGCATCTTTACACATGATCAAGCATCTTGACTTTAAAAATGACCATGACATGGCTCGACAAATACATTAAATAAAGTTATTCTTCTTCCACTTAACTTAAAATGGCCTGTGGCTCAGAGGTAGTTTATTGTCTCTAAACCGGAAGTTTGGGGGTTTGATCCCCAGCTCCTACAGTCACTTTACATAGCGTCCTCTACCAGCAGTGTGTGAATGTGGTAAATTGGTGATTGTCACATGTAGTGTAAAAGGGCTTTGAGTTGTCAAAAGAATATACAAGTCCAAGTCAATTTACAATTTAACTGTACAAATATTTTGGAAAATAAATACATTTGCTATTCTCTAATGTATCTAGACCAAAATAACACAATTTCTCTTTTTTCCCCCTTCAGGTTAACACTCTGTATTTGTACATTGCAGAGATTCAAGCAATACTTACAACATCCCCCTTTCTATTAATAGTTAATGTACCAACTTTTATAAACTATTGCATCGGCTTTATTTCTTCATGTTTTGCAAGTAAAACAAAACAAACAAAAAAAAAGATCAGTTATTTCATTTTGTTTATGATGCTAGAAACAAATATAATCTTTGAATAGCAAATTATTTGCATATTTACCAAATATATTTCTTTTTTATACCAACATCTCTACTAGCGTTTTGACCAGGGACAATGCAAAGCATCACTTCTGACAAATGATGGGGGTCAGTCCATCAAATATGTGTACACTGATGAATTAATCAATAACACACCTTTAAGAGTAAAATAAAGAGTAATCACGAGTGACGACTGGTCAATACTTACTGAGTAAAATGTATAATCTGCAGTAAAAATTGAAAAGAAATTCTATGTGTCTAAAGTTATTGATTGGTGACATCTTTCAAGTCTTGGGTACTAGACTCCAACCCCTGGGCCTCTGTTGACTTTTAATGACAAGAGATAGGAGGTCCGTTGGGTGCAGGATAAAAGTGCTCATAGACACATTACAAGCCACCATCCAAAAGGAGGCAGCAGATGGATTTGTCCCGTGAACTGAGACATAATGAGTGAGGCATGCAGTGTCACTGGATCAGATCTTTGACTGTTTATCATGATGGATCAAAGCAGCAAACCAGGCAATAGCACGAGTCAACTGACTGTGTTTAGCCGTCCCAAAATTTAGGAGACTGATGTCTGTAAGTAAGAATGCATATGGTGTTATTTGTTAAGTGTAATACATTTCGATTGTTTCCTAAGTTAAAGTTAATAAAATTATTATTCTCTTAGCCAGTTAATGGCATTTTCCAGTATGTGTTAGCATCAAGCTAACAAACTAAGATATGCATCCAAGTCCAGCTGTAAGAAATATTGTGCCCACCCTGGAGAACAAAACACCTTTATATTATTAATTAAGTACAAGGCCATAAAACACAAGTATATCTGTAAGTGATAATGGGGGACGTTAACAATCTATACAACACTGTAATATTACTGTATCGGCTTTAAACTAGATGACTACCTGGTGGCTAACATTGCTGTTACGACATTGACAGTTATCTCTTTAAATGTCACATGGCTCATTTGGAGGAACATAACTATTTGATTGCTTTTCATTTTTGGAGACAAGGTTGAATATAAGTCCAATATTCCCTTCTTTTAGCTCTTTTTTTTTCAATTTTTTTTTTACCAAATCCTGACGGCTATATTTAGGCTCTTAAGTGACTAAATCTACCAATGCATGAATTTGCCTGTGGTGGTATTGAAGATATTTTTATTATGCATACTGAAAAATGTGATTGTCAATATTGTTATTAAAAAACTATTGATTATAGGAGCTTTCAAGCTTACTGTAAATGCATGCTTTTTATTTTATAAAATCAGTTAATAATCTTCAGCTGGGACACGGGATAGTGGTTATAACACGCACCCAGAGGCTGTTGTCTTCGTCGCAGCGGGTTATACTCTAACCTCAACCCTTTGCTTCATGTCATCCTCCACTTTCTCCACCATACAATTTCTTTAGCTGAACTATCCAATAAAGACAACAATGGCCAAAAAATAACTTTAAGAAAATATGCTGTTATTTTCACATTGGGCTTTTGTGTTGCGTTATTTCAAGCAGGAAAGGTCTAATTCAAGCACCTTACATAAAAGCATTTATCAAATAGGTCATGAAAGGAGGTACATAAAAGCACTGCTGTCTTGAATGTAACAGCTAACTAAAGCAATCATACATCTGTGTATTGTTTGGGAGGCCCTTCAGTGCCAGAGATGAGAAGTGTTGTGTCACCAGTAACAAAGCTGCAGCACCAGATGTGGTTATCATCGACACAGCGCTGATTATTATGACATTGCATCATCAGTTATTGCATTCTGGGGGGAAAAGAGCTGTATTTTAAACAATAATGATGTGTCATTTTCTGCGAACGCATCAACAAATCTCACAGAGCAGACTGTTTGGTCCATTTTACATCAGAAAAGGAGAGAAGAAGAAGAGTTATTGGTTTACTCGCCGTGTGTACTGTTTCCTCCACAACAAACCAGCTTCTTGGTAATGACTTAGCTCAACACTGCTGCAGATGGAGAAGGAGAAGTATTGGCAAGAGGTTTTTTTATGGAGCAATATCTCAGTAGAAAAGAAAATTCTGACAGCAGAACATTGGTGAAGTTCTCTTTTAATGGTAACTAAAGCTTCTGGGAATGCAAGAATTGTTCACAGAATGGATCCCTGCCACCCTGAACAGATGAAAAAGTATGGCAGTGAGGGCAGAGGAACACCATGGCACATATTAAACTGTATTATGTGACAAATTCATCACTTCTGCTGCACATTCAGAGATACTACATGCAGGTTACATTCTCCTTAGACTCTGCGTCGAAGGGACTAAATCTTATGTTCTTCACAACCTGCACATAGAAGGAATCCAACAACAGAAGCTACCTTGTTTTGTTTGTTAAATGTTGAAAAAGACCACTTTACAAGACAACTTACAATACTGCTAAAAAAGCCAAAAACATTCAGTCAATTTCCAGAACAGACCTGTCGTTGCACTTTTTCTTCATTTTTTGTGCAACTATGAAGTTCCTTACTGTACCCATCTTGCCGTTACTCACTGCATATTTCAATACCATGATTATGCAAATCAGTTAGGGCACTCGAAAAGTTAACCTAAGTGGATTCAGTGTGCTGCTCATCCACTTAATCTTACGGGGGCATGTGGTGTCAACTGCTCTAAGGAGGCGTATATTTCAGATTGGTCTAATCAATATTCAACTTCTGCTCTAACTCCCCCTTGGCACTGGAAATTTGCACCAGATGGGCTTGAAAGAAACTGAAGGAGATGTATTGAGCCCTTGAAAAGCTCATTCCACCACCAAGATGGGTTTCTCATGCACAGGAAACCAACAATTTTTACCTGGAATATAGCAAAACGGTCAAAAGAGTACAGCAATGATTATCAAGACATTTCTTTTTAGAAATGTTGGTGGAAGGAATTATGCTAAATATTTGATATCAAACATTAGCTCATATAAAGATTTTATGCAGCTCTCTTGTTATAAAAGATTTGGAATCTTAAAGCTTGGCGGGACTACAACACCTCCAGAGAAAGCGTGAAGCCAGGACAAATGACTCAGACTCAGTGGAGGAGTGAAATTCAAATTGGAGGTCTTTAGTACTGATGACAGATATCTTGACCAGTGATATATAGCAGGGCTATATTAATGCTAATGAGTTAATTTCCCGCACTTAAAGCATTGTGGAATAGTAAATGATCTTGAACAATCAGACAGAGCAAATGGCTTGTGAATCGAGGATCTATTTATTTCTCTTGGAGCAGTTCTTTTATAACATACCAATCATCCTTTTATGGGCAATAAACACACTGAGCAATTACAACATGTGTGCTATATAAAGACCATTTCCAAGAAGTTTCTTGGACGGACACCTGGTCTCTTACCAGGAAAGAGTGGGTGGGTATGTGTGTACGTATATCAGGACATGACCTTATGACTTGGCCAAATTCAGAGGTTAGATACTTATTGGTTTGTGCCTTTTGCTGTCCAGATTGTGTGTTTCTGTTATGATTCAAGAGACTCCACATATGTAGAGGTCAGGTTTGTACAAAGAGGTGAATTGGGTTTGATTTTTCTGACATGTTTTTCAGTGTTGAAGCTTTGGGTACTTTTTAGGAGATCAGATGGATAGCTTAAAACATGAATAACCCTTTAGATTACCATGCATACTGAAAAAGTCACAGAGAAATGTAATTGCCAAAAACAAAGAAAGACACATTTAATGGCACATATGAAAGGATCTTTATGAAAAGATGAGTAAACACTATTTTTG